TCTTTGTTGTTTTCCCTGCGTTATGCGTGGCGTTGGGCGGAGGGATAAGGAGTGTCGAAACAAAGCAGGCATACGGCGTCGGGGAAGGAGAAGAAACAATGCGATTGTCCCCATCTCGATACTCTGCCGTGGTAATGCTTGAATCTCGCTCTAAAAGAGTCACTTCATCTGTTCGGTGCTCATCACAGATTGCCCTTTCACAGGAGGCAATACCAAAGTCATCTGCAATCATGGGATTCTTATTGATGCTTGTGTCTTTGTTCCTCTGTCCTCATCAAGCAAGCATCGCTGCGCCAGTATGGCCGGAGAGTGGTCAAAAGGTTTAAAGCTCAGCGCTTCCATCCTGGCTGAGATGGAACTTGAACCTGAATAGCACCTGCCAGGTTTGGGCCTTCCTCCCGCTTCACCTTTTATAGTTGTAAACTTCACCTTTTATAGTTGTAAAGGTTTCTAACCTGGAGCTGCTATGCCAAACGGCCGGCGGGCGGTTTTGGGAGTATAAAAACCCCTTTTGGTTTTGGTCAGTGCTGCGAAGTTTTCCTCTTTTTTTTGTTTCGAACAGCGATCGCACAAACTTGACCAGCAAAAGTCAAACGTGAATTTTCACCGCGAACGGTTTCAACCGCCAACAGCAAGGAACCCAATCTACCTCACTCAACCCAACAACTTATCTTTGCTCAGCTTACCACCGCCGCGCAAACCCTCGCGCTGCACTCGACAACTCCTGCTCCTGCTAATCTACTGACGGCCCCGCGCTCTCTTCTCCGTACCAGCCAGCAACCGCCGATTTCGACAACAGCGTCACGACACTTCATTGCCGCCAACTGAACTTGTCCTCCCGAGCACCTACCAACAGGCAGAAGATCAAATCATACCACGATCGCGCATTTTGCCTATCCCTTGCCGCCTTGTGTCGCCGACAGTCGACAATCTCTTCTCGACAACTCACTGTTCTTGACAGCTCGCAGCATCTTCGACCACTCCCCATCGTCCGCAACTATTCCCTCCATTTCTAATCCCCTTGAAGATCTGACCAAGTGTCGGTATACATTCACGTCAGCAAAGTGAACAACTACAACACCGACCACCAGCTGATCAGCTTCGTTCCTCGCATGGAACAAGCTGCGGCCCAGCGCAACCCCCATCTCGGCGAGTATTGGGAGATTATCCGTAAGTTATTCCTCTTATCATCCCTGCAAGTTCAAACAACGATGCTCCCATGGAGATTTCGCTTGCTAACTCCCTTCAAACCGTGCAGTCTCCATCCAAGAGAATCTGCGCCAACCCGCCAGTGCCGAGTTCGCCGGAGTTGAAGTCATCAAGAGCCTTGAAGAGATCAAGAGGATGAAGAGGTGGAACGACCAGCACGACCACTTCTCGCGTTGTGCATACGAGTATTTGAGGTTCGCTTACAACCTCGGCGCGTCGGAGCAGGCGATCAAACGGATTGCACACACCAAGCCCAATATCGGTGTTGAGGCACTGGCGGGTATGAACGCTCATGAACTTTCTCTCTACCGCAGGATCACCAAAGGAGAACAGGGAGAGGATCAGACCTACGAGGGCCGCATGCGCTCGGAGGCTGAGTTCTGGGTGCACGATAAGATGGTGTGCGATTACACCAGGAAGCGTGTTCCCCAGAGCGCCAGGCTTGACATCCCCATCTTCCCAGAGGATGAGGCCGGGTATGTCAGAGAGATGGTCGAGGCCATGTCGGACATGGTTGGTGACAAAGATGGTAGTGCATCACAGATCGACACGGTGAGAAAGATGAAGGTTGTTATGGAGCATGTTGCATGGCAGTACTTCGTAAGTGATTACACCCTCTAACGTTACAGTGGTGTCTGATTAACACGAAGTGTAGCGGGAATCGAGACATGCCCAGAATGGTGACGCCAAGGTGCAACCATGGTGCACAGGCTTCTATCTCCGCGAGTACGACTCCTGGCAGGAGAGGTGGGACGACATGGTTGCCCTGATGACGGTTAGTTAACATCCAAGTACAATGATTCGATAGAGTGACCACTGCTGACTGCTGCAACAGAAATCAAAGGCTGCGGTAGACGACCTAATTATCACGATCTACCCCAAGCGATTTTCCAGTGACCCCTACTACGAATTGCAGGCAAGTTGTCTTTGGATTTTGTGTTACTGAGTGCAGTTACTAACGATCTTCATAGCGCAAGAACATCAACGAGCGCAACAACAAGAAAAGAGCCCAAGATGCCAGGGACATCGCGGCGCTTGCTGCACAGGCCTCTGGACCGGGAGCTCCAAACTAACAGCAGTGTCATGCAACCAACGGCGATAGACCATCGTCTGGTAGAGTACACTGGTTGGCGGGAGGGGCGGGTGGCCGATGAGGAGTTGGTTCGGTAAAGGAACCAGTTTGAAACTTGGGGATGGATTGAGCGAACTTTGCACAGAATCGCTATTAGCCTATATTGGGAGGTCCACCGCGAATAGAAAAGTTCGTTATATCAGTATCAGCTCGCCGATGGGGGTTAATGTGAGACAAGGTTCGGAGTTTGCTCAGTGATCGAGAGGAGTGAGATGGTGCTTGCATGAATGTTTGCGATTGAGTGACTGACATCAGCGGATGTTTGTATACAAGACTCTCATCGATAGACTCATTATGATTACGTTTCCTGCTCTAATGCTACCAATATAAGGATCACGTATTACTTGACCAACTTTCGAAACAAATCTCTCAGGTATAAAAGGCCCGTATATCTGGGTTCCTAACCTCTCATTCGGCTTGCTGTTTGCACGCTTGCCGTATATAGAACACATATGCCTCATCCAACGGTGTCGTTATGTCCTGCTTGAAGTCTCGTTCTTTCCCAACCTCCCATTAGTATCAAGGAAGTCATTATAGATGACACCTACCTAAGTAAAATCTTCTAACCTTACTCCCAAGGCAGAAACACAGTGACACAGCCTCCAACACAAGTTGGCAGAAGTTCATTCTTTACTCCGGGCTTGGCCCCAGCGGAATTCAAAGCACTTCCGGTCTGGTAAGATACATCTGTCGGCGGCCCGGCGCTTACCGAAGCAAGACCTCTTTAGTCATAGGTTTAGGCGGATGCCCATCGAGACGCTGAGAGATATTCCGTGCTACTCGGAGGATGAGTGCCATTTTGTTAGGGTGATGGTAGAGGCGATCGCTGATATGGATGGCGAGGAGTCAGGATGGCAATGTTCATCAGATTGATGCTGTGAAGAAGGCATCGAAGGGTGCACGTCGTTCAGCACCTCGCCTGGAATCTGATGGTGAGTTACGTCTCTTTGGTCGAGGACTGCACGATAACTTGTAGCTTCCTAACGAGACTCATAGCAAGAGGCTAAGCTCGCCCAGGCGGGTATATGTAGACCAGGCATTGCACCATTCTGTCAGGTACTTCCTTTTATCTAAGGCAGTACGAGTCCTTTTGGGCCCGTTGGGACGACATGGTTGCATTGTTTAGAGGTAGGGTAGGTTCATGCCCGCGTACTTCCATAAAACGCTAGTTTTGTATACTGAATCGTCGAACAGATCTCGAAGGCCACCGTTGCCAACCTCCTGATTGCACCCTGTCACCCTGTTTCAAGCGTTTTGCTTTGCGATCCTCGATCGTAGCTCTAGGCAAGTCAACCGCCTCTTTTGAACGTACTTTCTTCAGGCCGCTAACAGTTTCCCAGAGGAAGGAGAAGAACGCGGACAATAACGCGACTAAGGCCCACAATATTAGAGACGGGCGGGTGGCTCTTCAAGCTCAGGTCTCTAGATCTGGGGCTGCTAACCAGTAGTAGGGTGGCCGTCTTCACGTACCACGCTCGTGGTAAGAAGACTAACTAACTCTATTGACGACGACCATGCCTCTTTCATTCAAGACACCTTTCGAAAGGAAGTGGGAGACATGACTCAGACGAGGAAGATGACGATGGGAACTGTGTTTCCGTGGTCATCCAGATATGCTAGGGCTGGGATACCCAAATTTATAATGTAATCGAAACTGGCAGTTGGTTCTTTAGGCGACCTGGCGGTGTTGTAGTATGGATTTTATCAGGTTCCATGAAAAGAGGTAAAAGAGGGGATTTACAGCGCGTTGCTTTTGTTTTATCACCTGAAAAGTGCAGCGACTGCAGGCGTGGGTTAAATCGGTTCAGCACAACAGCCCAGCCCTGAGCGGGGTGCATAACGCACTTGCCCGGCAGGCGATGCTGCAGGTGCTCGAAATCAGGGCCCTTCCTTTTCTCCACTCCCAGGGGCACTTGGCGCTTCCTCTCGAAAGCTCTCCCGCTTCTTCTCCCAATTCAACCTTCATTCTTTGGTCGAGAACCTCGAAGCAAAGGACTCTTGGACCGCACGCCAGCGAGAAGATTTTCTGATAGCCAACAACAGCCAACAAGCTTCCCGCTTCCGCCTTCTTGACATCGACACCTCTCACCGTACTCTGGTCCGTACCTACTTGCGAGAGTCGTTGATCAAAAATCCGCACTTTGCGGTTGCGCTCACCTCAGCCTCATCTGCGGCCCCGTGACCGGCTTTGGGAGGCCAGACGCCTCCTAATCAGTACCGCGCGCCCTCATACGTACCTGTAAGTTATGAATAGATTACAATATTTAGGAACAAACATCGATACCAACAGCCGGGGAAGCGAAAAACAAGTGGCTTCCATGGCTTCGGCTGCTTCGCCCGCTTCTGGCCCTCGTTTCAATTCAGCCTTCCTTGAAGTTTACACCTCACAGCGATATCAGAGACCTTGCTGTTGTACATCACGCAGCAAGCAAGTGCTCTTTCATTCATGTACACAATGTCAATTATCATCCAATGTATCGCGTCACTTCATCTCTTCCTCGCCATTCCTGCCCTGAACTTTCTATACCTTCACGTACTATGACGCGGCGTCCTTGTATACATCTCTCCGCGATGGTTATCTGCTCTTTCATGCCATGCAACGATGACCCACTAACAGAGTCCAATTTAGTATATCACAAATCGTCCTAGGCCATCCGCCATGGCCGACTACAACACAATCAACACACAGGCCGTTTTCGGCCTCGTAGACTTTCTCAAGTCCGCCGCCGAGCGTGAGGATCCGAGACTCAAGACGTATTGGGACATCATCAGTAAGTTGCCTTTCCGTCCACTTTGCACATTTGGCGAAGATTGCTACGGAATGGTTTAACAATGATCTAGTCGATATACAGGATGATGTCTTTCGCCCAAACACGAAGACAATTCGGCCCTTCCAAGAATTTAAGATCCCGCACGAGTTCCAAGAGTTCGGCAGAAATGCCTACGACTGGCTGGTTTTCCACGTCAGATGTCGCACCACGGAAACTGCCCTAGGGGCGATCGGACACACCAGGCCCGGCTTGAAGCAGGCCCTAATGGTTGGTCTAGCAGGACACGAGAAGAGCGACAATAGGAGGACTAGAAGGGAGAACCCCCCAAACAACCAAGTCCTTCCTGGCCATTCCAAATCTATGGCTGAATTCTATGCCACCGAGGGCGCCTTTAAGTCGCTTCACCACCAGACGCCCGAAGCGGGAACAATCAATGATATTCCGCAGACTCGCAAAGAACAGATCCCATTTGTCCCTCAAATGGCAGAGGCATTGGAGGATGTCACCGACTATGTGGATAACGAGGACAGCTATCAGGTCCAGACGGTCAAGCGGACATCAAGGGCGGTGTTTGAGCACATAGCATGGAGGTTGCTGGTAAGCTCTACCATAATTCCATTGTTCGTTAATTGGCATTCATGGGACCCATCTGACCACAAAAGACGTTCAGAACACGGGAATCTTGATGCAGGAGGGTGAACCCGCCGTTCTTCCATGGTCAACCAGTTTCTACAGACGGGACTATCCCACCTTCCGAGCCCGATGGAACGATATGGTCCTGTTTCTACGCGTAAGCCAGAAAATATGATACAGTCCTTGTGGTGTACAGGCGTTGCTAACAAGACGAGAATCAGAAATCAAAAGCCGCAGTAGCCAACCTGCTCATTTCTCCGTATTGGAACAGGTTTGCCGGTGATCCTGACAAGGAACTCAAGGTACGTGGTCTTCTCTGGCCCGCTGCATTTCGCTGTACCGGACTGACCGTTTCGAAGACCAAAAAGATTAAGGCATTTACTCCGCGGGCACCCGGGTCGTCTTACACGGGCACCCAACCTTATTGGGGCACCCTCGCGGGTTAGGGTTAAGTAAACAAATTGATTTTTTCAACCATTCAATACAGCCAAATAGTAATCGTACAGGCGCATTTCCGGACAGACCGTGCCAAGCCTATTCAACTAGTGGAACCCCATTTACTCATCTGTACACACCCCCCCCCCCCCCCGCGGCGCTCCCCCTAACCCCCACTGGGTTAGATTTGGTAATTTTGAACATACCTCGCAACTTTCTATAATTATAAACACTAGGACAGGCTAAATTGGACCGCACACACGTAAATTGAATCGCCTCTATCACTAAAACTATTTACTAACTTTCTTGTATAAAACTGGATATTATTGCCATTCCTGCCCGTGAATGTAAAATCATGGAATTTACCGTGTAAAGGATATTTTACCTCAAAATTACATGCCAAGGATTGAAATATGGGTGCCCGTATAAGGTTGGGTGCCCGTGTAAGACGACCCGGGTGCCCGCGGAGTAAACGCCAAGATTAATAAGAAAGGCAACGGAAAGAAAAATGAAATGCTGCGAGGATTGGGAGCCGGAGGCACCCAAGCTGCTGCTGCAGGTCGTGATGAGAACGCAAGTGAACACGACAACAGCTCATCGAGCGTCGATTCAAATTTCCCAAAAGCCACAAGAACGCCTCTATCTCAAACTCCGCGAGACCAGGCAGATCTGGTCAACGTCGGCGCCATATGCCCGCAATGTCGACATACTCTACTCATGCCGGAATCCCTGTCGCAACGAACGCTACTTAGGTGGTAGCAGACAGCAGCAAGGTGATCGAAGCCGAAGGTGTCAAAAGCCTCGAGCATGAGTTGCTTGACGTGGAAGGGAACAAAGCCAAGCCCCAAAATACATCGCGCCAGGCAGAGAGCACGCCTCGGCAAAGTTCAATCCTTCGTCGAAGAGAACGGAGACAAAGGCGTTTGGCCGGGGCATGGAGAAGTCGACCTGCGAGACAGAGGGCACCGCAAGAAAATGATGCAGCTGAAGCGTATATTCCTCAGCCAGAGCCCAGCCCCCGGCAAGTGATCGTTCCTCCACAAGCCCAGCGAACCCACAACCCCGAGGTCTCCTACTTGACATCGCAACAAGAGCGCCACACCGAAATGGAAGGCGGAATAAGAAATGCGGCGTGTTCGGAAGCGGAGGAGTGGGATCATGATGAAAGCATCTTTGCGCCTAACCAAATGGGGGTTATTTGGAACAGCCAGCAGCAGGTGCCTGACGTCAATGTCAATGTTGATAACGCCAGTCTCAACGGGGGCATTTCCGGAGACGACCGTATGGGAGACAACGATTGGGGACAAGGGGCCCTCAGTCTGAGCCATCTGGTCGACCCATTCAACTGGAATAAGGACTTGGCGACTCAAGCCTTTATCAGCCCAATGGCGTTGTACCCGGTTGAAAACGGTGAATTCGCGGACGATTTGGTGGACAATGCCCACGAGACCTTGGGCAACAACATGCCTATCAACCCGGCCCTGTCAGACAGCAATGCGTCTAGCTCAAACGTTGCTAGTCTTGACCCAGTTCCCGGCGAAACCGCGAACCATAGCGACAAGACCAACAACAGTGATGGCGCGTACGCGTACGATATGAATATTTTTCCGGAGGATCTAGACAGTCGTATCGAGGATGGTATTCTTCAGGCCCCCGACTCAGGAGATCAACTCGAGATGTTTGACATGGACGCTTTCATCATGGGCCCTCATCAACCCAGGGGCATGTTAGGTGAAGACGACCCCAGTTTCACAGCGGCCGGTTCTGTTGACTATCAACACGAGGTTGAAGATCTCAACGACGAGTTATCTGGAGACAGGTTCATCGGCTATCCTGTCGCTGGAACCAGTGATTCCAAGCGCAAGAGGGATGAGACCGACGAAGAAGGTAGCATGAGCGAGTGCTCGCCATCCAAGCGGTTGCGCTAACTCGCAACATAGCTTTCTGACGGCTATAAGATTCACTTCTGGCTTGTGACCGACATGCAGGTTGCAGCTAGGGAAGACATCACACCACCCTGGGACTTTCGGTTTCTCAATGAGAAGTTGAGATACAAGGCATCTCTGAACTTATAGGCGTCATATGCAAGCGCATATAGCAAATTGCGGTCGGTAGGCCGAATGCAGGCAAGTTGCCTTTATTCATGAGCTATCCATGGGCCATTTTTCGACAGCTGGCCATTTTGCTGGTAGCAAATGCGAGGGTTCGAGAAGAGTGCCATTGGGTGATAGGGAGCCAGCAGCTTGGGACTCTCTGGAAGTTTACCAGATATTTGCGTGCTTAGACACGCAAAAGAGAGGTCGACGTCGACGGTGAAAAGCTTGTTGATGTAAAGATCGGCGAGAAGATACAAGTAGGGTTATGTACGAGTTTTCTCACAAACTCCCCGCGAAGGAGCGGCAATTTCTCTGGCTCGTCAGCTGGAACTGGGAGGCACACCAGCAATCCGAGTCATACCTAGCTAGCAGACTGGAAGAGGCCCTTATACCAAGAAGATGATATTCAGCTTTTATAGAATCAAACCTTAAATCTCACTTCCGTTGCTTTTATCCTTTCCCTCGGGCTTGATCAATGTTTCAATAGCTTGCACATGACCCTCGTGAAGTTTCCCTTTTTGAGTATTTCCTTTTCCGATGTTGACGGACTCCACGTCGAAATTTGCCGAGACAGGTACTTACAAAGTTTCGGGGTGTCACACGTTCATTTGCCCTATGGATATATATCGTCTACTGCACGAACCATAGTTTCTCTACAACACACACATGAAGTTTGCAAGCCCTGCTGAACAGACGGGCCTCACATTAAAAGGACCGAATACGCCGGTGAGCATACGGAAGTCGCTCAAAGAGCTGTCCCTTCCGGCCGCTCGGGGCAAATAATCAAGATATGTCAAGAAGTCGACTAAGGCCCTTGAAAACACCATCAAAGGCGGCCGTTGCAAATCTTCTGATCACTCCGTATTGGAATCGCTTTGGCGGAGACCCCGACAGCGAGCTAGAGGTACGTGGACTTTCAGGCCTACCTCGAAATGATGGGCATAAATCTAACAACGACACTGTAGAGGACGAACATAAATAAAAAGAACAACAACAAAAAGAAAAGCGACAAAGTTTCGATGAAACAACGACTAAAGGAGGCAACAAGCGAGGGGGCTATTGCTGCCGGCCCTGCTTTTGCGTTTTCCGCTGCTTCTCCTCCGGATGAGATTAATGGTCTCCGGGTAAACGGCACCGAAGATAACGACATCGAAGGAAGCGAGATCGAGAAGGGCGATCCCGAAAGCAGCAACGCCGAAGATAGCGACACGGAGGACAATGATACGGGCAATAGCGACGACGAAGGGCAAGATACCCTCGGACTGGAGTCTGAAGATGACGGTGTCTTTGACCCAGATAAAGACAAAAGCGATCTAGAAGATATTGGCGATGCGGATGTGTTCGAGGCTGAAGCGACCGAGACAGATGGTCAAAATTCTGAGGAGCAAAGTGTGGTCGACAATCGGACTGCTCCTCAAGACCATGAGAAGATCCCTACTCCTTATGTCGAAACACCTGGTTCAGATCGGAAACGCCTCCCAGATGCGCCGGGTACCTACCTAGTTGTCCTTTACTCCAAGGCCCATTCCAGCTGCCGGTTCTGCTCCGTAGGGCGAAGCATAAACTGACATTGAGCTGGGGAGGAGACGTAATGAAAGGTATGTCGAATATGTGTGAACGATAGTGCTACCCCCTTGCTTTGGTGGTTTCAGTGGCTGGGTACTAACAGTTCTGCATGGGACCTATATGGCGGGGGGGCTAACCCGTTTGAGCGGGATCGATGAGATGACGCCCTGTTGGAGACAACTTTCTGCCCTGTACGCCCGGTAATTTAGGGGGGGCGGGCAAGGAAATGCGCGCTATGCGCTACCTCTAAACATTTCTGTTCACCTCGACTTGTAGACACCGAGGACCATTTTTCCTTCCCCCCCCCCCCCAAAAAAGTTGCCTCGCCTCCCGCCCTCTTCGCCTTTCTGCCTCGTCCGTTTCCCACTCACAACCCCTCCTTCGTATCTCTGCTAGCAGCACGGAAGCAGCCCTTTGCTTGTCGACCGACCTCGCCTGTCGACCTTGCCTGCCCACAAATTCGCTCCGCGCTCCAACGCTCGCCTGAGTGTCGAAAGTCAAAGCCAGCTTCGGATCAAGGAGTTCCGATTCCTAGGTAACTTTGAACAACACGCAAAAGGTACCTCTATCCTCCCACGTCAAATCTGATCCCATTTATCGCGTCTTTCCATCCCTTTTGTGGAGGCTTACGTGATAGTTGCTGTGTCGTTCGATGGGAATGATAGAGTGTCTGTATATACCACCTTGAATAACGGCCCGATCGTGCCATGATTAACACCGCACTTTATAGTACCCGGACCTACCCTCTTGCGTAGAGGTACTGCTGACATGGCGGAATATGCGCCGACCGCGGCCGACATCCGCGACTTTGTCGAGAATCTAGAGGCAGCGGCGGGGTTCGACAATCCGAACCTTGGGGAGTGGTGGAACATCATCAGTGAGTTGTCTTGCTTGAACTCCCATCAAGTTTATCGAAGGAGCATCTAAAGAACAAAAAGTCTTGCTGACAAGCTCTCCTTGCACAGTTTCCGTGCACACGAATCTCATACATGCCAATACACGAACGATCAGACCCTTTGCCGAGTTCCACGGCATACGATCGCGTCACCGAATCTTCGGGGCCATTGCATACGAATGGCTTGTGCTGAATTACAAGCAGGGAACGATCAGAGAGGCCCTGGGCAGGATCGGCCATACCAAGCCTGGAATGGCTACGACTGTCACCCAGGGCATGGCGGCCCATGAGCTGTCGGGGGATGCGAGAAAGGTCCGCGTGCAGGGGGCCGACCAAAGCCCTTGCAATACAATCACATCCCTGGCGGAATTCTGGGCGGCAGAGGGCGCACTCAAGCGACGGTCGCACAGGCAACCGCTACCATCAAGTATTGCTGCTATACATCGAGAGTAATACAGATTGTCTAATCTTTACACTAACCAGATCAAAGCCCATGACTCGAAGATTGTTAACGCTGTCAAGGTGCATGGCTGTCGGTTTTGTGACCGACAAGGCGCCGTCCTTGACCTTTGACCCAGTTGTAGGTAATTGTAATAGTGGAATGTATAAGTGCTAGTGTGGCTGTTGATTTAGGGGTATTTAGGGAGGATGTGCTAACACGCTTGCATTGAACCCACCTGCGGGAGTTGGCTAGAAACCAAGAATGGGGTTGTCAACCTTCCAGCCCTTGGCGGAAGTGTACGATGTTGAGAATATTTTAAAACAATGCCGAATCTTGATTGTATTCTAGCCTAGACTACTTGACCGGTTGTCGCCGTGAAAAAGATTGTTAGGTGCCTCAATGATGCTTGATCCGCTACACACGGCGACTGGTCTGCATGCTCGATAACTCCCTTCCCGTAGAGGCCGTCTTAAGCGCCTGCCTGAAGGTTTGCTTCCTACCTACTCAGCATTGGAAAGTGTCAATGCAGGTGTTCAACTTCCTCCGATCCACTTTCTATAGCCGTCGCATTGCCCCTCCCCGATTTTCTTTCTTTTCCACCTAATCTTCTTCTCCATCATTACATCCTTCCAAACTTCGTCAGTTTTCTCACACCCAACAGGGTTTCGGCAGCTTTTGATCGGTCGACAAAATCCAGCTTTCCAGGGCATTACGCAACTACGTTTCGGCAGGAAGGGAGCCGAACCCCGGTCGAGACGACGTCGCTTTGCAGCTTCTTTCGCTTGTCATTTTGTGCCACTCTCGTCCAAAGCGACGCCCGACCAACCGACCGCGATTGAGTGCTTGATCGCCAGTGGCTCCAAAGACTCAGCAGGTAAGTGGTCGCCCTCTACCCTAGTATCACCTTGCATTCTGGACGACCCTCCGACCCGGAGCCGAACTCCCGGAAGACATGGAAGTTTTCGCTTCCACGCTTCCTGGGCGAAACTCTACTCTTGATTTCAGCCTCGGCGTTAAGTCAAGTGTCGTATTATCTCAACCGCTTCTTCCATCATATCAATCTATTGTCATCCTATCTGCCCGTTTTCAGCACACTCAAAGCAAATGATGTAGCGTTCTTGTGTACATAGAGGTACCTTGGCCTCCCTGACAAACATCGAAGAACGCACGTGTATCTATGCCAACTACCATGTTAACACCTAGCTCACAGCGCAGCGAGGAGATCACAGTATCGAGAGGGAATACCGCCGACAACAAGGCCAACACGAAAATCGCCTTTCAGAGACAGCGCGACAGGCACGACAAGAACTTCACGAAGCTTCGCGAGCGTCTCAAGGAAGATCAAGCCAGTAACCCTTCATAGAAAGAAGCCTTCTTTGCTGGTGGTGTAGCGATCCCTACGAATCCTCAGGAAGCTCAGACTCTACAGTATCAAAGTACGGGGCCCTTGCCATTCCCAACAAAATGGCTGACGTCGGTCCCACCATCGATGACATCGAAGGCTTCGTTGCCGAGTTAGAAGCCGCCGCACAAGTGCAAGACCCACGTTTGAGCATATGGTGGGATATCATTAGTATGTCGTCGCGCTGGCACCTCCTTCTTTGCTTCGCCAGTTTCCGACAGGAACCTTGGGCCACGAGGAGATTATATTGATACCGGCTACCTCACAGTTTTGCTGCAAGAAGACTTGGTCTACCTAGGCACAAATATAATCCGGCCCTTCGATTAGTACGTCGGCATCGACCCAAACTTCCAAGAGTTTGCCGAGGCCGTATATCAACGGCTTTGAATCCAATATGCCTGTGGAAACACAAGGAATGTAATTGCCAGAATCGGTCCAACTAAGCCGGGAATTATGGACAATGTGACGGAGTGTATGATGCTACATGAATTGGAGAAGAAACGGCGAAGGACCCGGGTCCTATGCCCCGAAGAGAACCAGGCCTTCCCCGGCCGGATCACATAGGTAATACAGTTTTGAGCAACTGACGGTGCAATGAAGCGCCTCGCAGAAAGCACGCCCCACTCCGGCACAACTGCGGATATCCCGCAGACGTACGCCGCTATGCTGCCGCATGTGCGGCAGATGGCGGACGTACTGGTCGATAGGTTAGTCAAGATTGACAACGATGGCAGCAAGCAAGTCAAGTTGTTCAAATCAACGTCAGGCACAGTTTACGAACACGAGGCTTGGAATATTATGGTTAGTGCAGCCCGGATATATCCAATGTCGTCATGACGGACACTTCAACCTGATAAACGGCATTTCACAGTTCATAGCTATTGATGCTCAAAAGGGGAATCCAGGTGCTTACCCCTGGGCCACCAGTTTATATTGGAGGCGATACGACACATTTTCCGCGAGATGGAACGATCTTGTGGTATTCGTGAGGGTAAGCGACCATCAAGTATCTGGGAACGACGAAAGCAAATCAAGCTTCCCATACATCGCAAGTCCCTTTTGAGTACAGCCACAGAGGCTAACAAAATATCCTGCCAGGCTTCCAAGGGCGCAGTAGCGAACTTGTTGATATGTCCCCATGCCAATAGGTTTGCCTCCGATCCCGCCTCGGAACTAGACAGAAAAAGGATCAACATAAAGGGTAACCTCGAAAAGGTCGCTAAAAGGACTGCGATCGAAGCAGCTCTCGCACAACTCGAGACGGCCATGGCGAACAACCCCGGAGCAAACAGCAACACCGAGGATAATGCCACGATTCAGCCCGCCATTTTGGACCAGGCTTTGCCCCAGCCTGTCGCCCAAGAGAGCAATGTTGCGGAGCATTATGCCCCGATTGAGAGCGATGACGACAATGATGACTATGAAGATGACGGCGACAATGACTCGGAAATCAGAGTTTCCGACAAAGTGTTTGTTGGAGTGGTAAAGGAGCTTGACGAGGAAGAGGAGGCCGCTGACGAAGAAAGTGCGGATGTTGTCGACGCCGACGAGGATCCCAACGACGAGGATTCTGACGATATTCATGGCCTTGGTGGACGGATTGAGAGTCGAGAGTTCATTGCTGAGACCGAGAGTGGACATGCGTTGCCTATGCATCCGATGGCCGCTCCAGTTGCTGCTGGTCACAGTTCATAGGTTGAAGGTGGCCACAGCAACGGAGCTGGTGGTGTCGATCGCATGGAGATCTTGCCAAGCGCTCCCGAGCATCCAAGTGGTGGCCTACAAGCCAGCGATGCTTCAGCTCGGCCGTTGCCCGCAGGCTATCAGCACCGTATGAACAACAACTCTATATTCAACCAGGCTATCACTGATCAGTTCAGCGAGGATCATGATAGCCTCATGGCCGAGTCTTCTACCACCCATGACGTCGACGAAGAGAATGTCGCCTTCTCAGAGAACATGCAAGTGTAAGATTACGACAACCTTGGCTACGATGATTCTCGGAATAAAAGGGGTCCGGATCTCGGCCAGGATGGACAGACTGGGGCTTCTTCGAAGCGGCTGCGCAGGCGTTGAGACGCAAGATATCTCGTGGTTGGTGGACGGATGTGTCAGCATATGTTCGCTCCCACTTTTTTACTATTGAAAGTCCATTACCTACTGCCAAGCTGCTATTTCTTGGTGAGAGATGTGCTAGGTCACATTTCGGAGGCTGTTTTCGGCAAAGAGTTTTGGACAAGTAGGCCTTCAAGTTAGTCAGATGCTGCTGCCTTCTTGGAGGGAGCAAGTACTCCTTGGAGAGGTTCTCAGGCAATTTGAAGGAAAAACAATCCTTTGTTCTTGAGTTATGTACAAGGTATGTATCTCGGTTACTTTCCCGCAAGTGCACAGTGTTTCTTTGTTTTCTCTTGTAACTCTGGAGGACCTCGGGACCTGGGCCGAGTTCCATCTGGACGAATAAAGAGGAAGGTCTGCCCATGTAGATAAAGATGGCACCTCTATGAATTACTCTTATTTCTTATCATTCTGATACTTATTTTGCTCGTTTGTCGAGCCTGTCTTCTCTTGGGTTCTCTCGCACGGAACTCGTTCCATCCGCTGCGTGCTACCACATTCACGTGTTCATGATTCCATCCTCCCCGGCCATATTGTTCATGAACTCACCTGGAGGGATCTTACGGTTAGTCCTACTGTTTACGAGCATCTTCCAGTGGTCTGGATCATCCACGCATTGATGAACATATGTGTTTCTGAACACATGTTTCCCTATGCCGTTCGTAAATATTGGGGTGGCGTCGTTCATGGTGCAGAAATCCAGCGTGACCACCCAGCAGGATATCAGCGGTGTGTAATTGTTAGCCCCAGGCCCCGTCTAGTGCACTTACAGGGGGTGTGGCTAACAGTCTTGCACAGGAGCCACATGCGACATGCAGCGGTTTGCAAGAGGGAGACGATACGGCTGGATTGAAAAGCAAGTTGGACGGAAGTTGAAGAACGGCTGCAGATGGATAGATACTGGGCTACCAGTGATGGATGACCCTAGGAAACCTTACCCTTTCAACAACAGCCGAATCCATCCGTCGCTCTAGCAACCCTCCTGATGCGCGGGGATGGAATTGGGATGAGTTGAAGCAAGGCGCGGTGAGAGCGCGTTTGGCCTCAACACCAAAACCTTGTTCACCACCGAGCCCTGAACAGCGAGGTTGATCACGAGCAGCACTACAAATCCCCCAGCAGAGCCACTGATCTTACCACCTGGAGAGCAAAACTCCACAAACGCAGCAACAGTCGCTGACCCTCTAACTACTATAAGAATCCTCCCTCAGCTGCAAATCTCAACCTCAAAATTTCCTCCTGCAAGCAACGAGCCTCCTTCGACCACGAACCTCGACCCAGCTTTGCTAACTAAGCAGTTGACCCCGCTCACCCTACTCACTCGAATACTTCCGTGACCCATCGCCCACCTCTACCCTTACTTCATCAACACATCGATCAGTCTCTCGACTCGTGCTTTACCACTTGCACTTCAACGCTACTTGCAACTCGCACTCGATATTCCACGCAACCTCAACAAACGATCCATCAAGATCGTTCACTGCTTGCACCTTATCTTGCTTTCAAGTAAGTTGACATCCCTTATATACTTTCTTTTCTTCACTTATCCATGCTCGCCATTCGTACCTTTTCAATGATTCACTTCTTGTGAGAGCGCATTCACATATACTTCGCTTGTTTAACTATCCATAAACACCACTCTTGACGCATGCCTCAACGCAATGCTCTAACATCTTCAACTGTTCTAGTCCTTCCCCACCTCTCAAAATGCCTGTCTCTTTTGACCATGCCCAGCGCATCCCGGAATTCTTGGAGGCAGCTGCGCGGGTCAGAGACCCTAATCTGGTAGCCTATTGGAAGATCATAAGTAAGTCACTCGATTGTGTCCATGTCCCTCCAGAACACTCCTAATGAAACATCACACAGTGACCATACAAGTAATTTGGTCAACCCAATTAACAATGTCGTCCGCCCCTTCGCCGAGTTCACTCGTCGTCGTGCCTACGACCCCCACCACCGCCATTTTGCCGAGAGCACCTACCAATGGCTCGTCTTTCTCCACCGGACCGGCTTGACTGCTGAGGGTCTCGCCAAGATTGGACCTACCAAGCCTGGTTTGGTCGAGAAGCTGAGGAGAACCCTCGCCTGTCATGAGATTACCCATGCGCGGAAGAAGACCCGCGGAAACCACCCGGCCGGCCAGGCTTACAAACGGATCTACATGACCGAGGCTGACTTCATGGTCGGTGAGGGCGCAATAGAGGTCCTGGGCTATCCTACCGGGCAAGTACAGGACTCTCAGGTGGCCGATATACCAACAAGCGAGCCTGACAAGGTTCAATTCATCGACGAAATGGTTACCGCGTTGAAAAACATGGTCGGCAGGGACAAGGGCATGGAGGCCCAAGTCAAGCAAGTAATGGCTACATCCGCCTCAATCTTCGAGTCTCTGGCATGGCGTCTCTTTGTAAGTCATCCTCCATGGGAGAATCCACACACGAACCATCCCCTAACAATGCATGTCATAGATCGCCTGCCGCCTTGCCCAGATTGGGAAGCCCAAGGTCTCACCTTGGGCAACTAGCTACTATTACCGGGAGTACGACAACTTCTAATCTCGATGGGACGATCTAATCCACTTCGTCAAGACCAACAAGGCAGCCGTCTCCAACTTGTTCCTGAGCAACTACTTTGCCAGGTTCGCGGCTGACCCCTACAAGGAACGGTCGACGAAGAAGCAAAACGCCAAGACCAACAACGACAAGGCGGACAAGAAGAGAGCTGGCGATGAAGCCATTGCGACCCTCGCTGGCAACCCGCTGCCCCAAAACACCAACGCTACTGGCGGAAACGTCCAAGCTCAGGCCAATATCGAGCACTATACCGACCAGGCCGCTCAGAACTTTGTGGCTGCTGCAGGTGCCGCTGGTGCCTCAGTTCAAGGACTCCAGCAACCCCAGGAGCCCGTCTTTGCCCGCCCCCAACATATCAATATGGCCAATGACGGGTGGATCAATTACCAAGAGAACGACTTTGAGGCTCTCTACCGGACCCATGAGGCCCAGCCTAAGGCTTACAACGCTGAGGTTGAAGCCTATAACAAGCAGAAAAACGCAGCGGCAAATGGCGACAGCTCCGACGTCGAGGACGATAGCGAAAATGACGATGGCGCCTCCGCTCACGAGGATGACAACGGTGAGGATCCTGATGAGCCAAATTATGGAGCAGACTATAACGATATCTTCAATGACATTTACGGTGTTTCGGACGACGAAACCCGTGAAAGAAGAAGAAGACAGGATGTTTCGGCTGCCCGGGCCCCTGCCGCCCCTCCCAATATGAACGGTCGTGGTCTTGGTCCCACTATGGCCGGCCCACCAATGCCTGTTCTCACTACTCGTCCGCCTCCGACGCAAGCGGGCCCAGCCGTCCAATCTCATGGTTCAGATGGCCTTGTCCAGCAACCCGCTCCCCGCACCAGTAACCAGCAAGTCGCCCGTCGCCCGTTCGCTGTTCCAGCAGCTCCTCAGAACAGCCCTCAACAGAACTTCCTGCATGCTGCTCATGTGGTCACCCCTCCATCTGTTCCGAACGAAGTGTATGGCTCCAATCTTCCAACCCCTCCTCGCCCGCAGATACATCCTTATGGTCCTACACAACAACCACCTCAAGCCCATCGACCTATCAACATTTCCCAAGGGCACCGCGGCCAATTTCAGGCGCCTGTCTCCAGCCAGCCTCAAACCAACTTTGCTAGTCCAGCACAGCAAAATATTCCTACTGGTTTGGGCACTCCCGCAAGGCCGAGTCCTCATCAAGTTCAGGCCATTCCTCTTCCTCACGGGTTGCCAACTGTTCAATTGCAGTCCTCCGCTCCCATGGGTCACGTTCAGTCTCCGGCTGGTCCTCTTCCCGATGTTGTGCCAAGGCGCATCATCACCCCCGCTTCCGAGAGAGCTAGGCTCCTCAGAGAAAGTCAACAACCTGCAGTCATGGGTTTCCCTCCATCCGTGGACCCCAACGCTCCGGTTCAGAAAGCTGCTGAACCTCAGGCTGCCCCTCGCGCACCTCAATCACAACCTGCTCATGACTGGTTTGATTCCTCCGCGGGTCCTGCTTCGTAGAACGGACAGGCCAACGTGAGGCAGACCACGGCTGCAGCACTGGACAACTTTTTCGAACCGGGACCGTCGCCAGAACAGCAAATGTTCTTTGATCCCCCACCAAATCAGCAGATTGCCCAGCCAGCGCTGGGTCAGCAGCAGTCCTTTGATGAGTCGGTGTCCACCTTTAATCAACAGTCCATCGTGCAACCCGCGCCAATCCAGCAGGCTGCGGTTCCTGAGGTCCATCAGCCTGGGGAAGAAGAACTGATGATGTTATTTGAGCAAATCTCAAATGGCCAAGCTCCGCAGCAACAACGTGCGCTGCCTGCTGCAGAGCAACAGGTGGACATTGACCCGCTGGAAGACTTGGACTTGTCGCTCGATAATATTATGAGCGACCAAGAGCTCGTCGACTATGCAGCGACGCAAGGATTTGGCATTGATATAAATGACTTGGTTCAGCTGAATGAGGCTGGAAGCAACAACATAGCCGACAACCGGGGCATTGGCGGCGAGGTCATTGACAGCCAGCCTCCTGGACAGACAGTGGCAGATAACGCCAACGAGCAATGGCAGCAAAATAATGGCGTGGAAGACTACGAGGATCTCTTCGGCCAGTTCATGAACTTACCGGATGAAGTCGACAACATCATTGTTGATGATCTTTTTGCCGACGAGTACATGGTGAATCACGCCATTGAGGGCCTGGACAGGGAGGACGGCACCGGCAGCAGCGGAATCAAACGAATGAGAGGTGACCATGACGAGAATAAGGGAGAGGAGCGTCCTGCGCAGCGGGCTCGCATGAATTGAGTGGGCGTTTCAAGGATGACAGGAGGTTATGATGGGAGACGAATGATGACTGGAAAGACTGGGAATTGGGAGCGCTAGCTGTGACTACGGGAATAAAGGGAGTCATTGACTATCACTTGGGCTTTTAATGGTATCTGTAAGACAGAAAGAATGAACTGTCATTGTTCGAGTCATGTGATGGGGTTATAAGGTTGAACATCAAAGCATGCAGCATCGGTCATAGTCTGCAATGACAATAATGCAACTCATAAACAAACAATCAAATTTCCTGTGACTAATGTGACTGATGTGAGATGTCTTGATAGTCGCATCGTCTGCGAAGTGATATAAATATGCCTCATACCCCTCGTTCTCCGTACGTCCAATGTGAAGATTTCATATCGCTATGCATGGAGTGAGAAGTGAACCTTGGTCGTCAATTTAAGGTTTATGCGAGGCTGTGTGTGACGGTGAGGTGTAAGTGATAGTGCATGCCTCTGTATAGCTGGCTTCAGGCGGTGGCTACTAACTTCCCAACTTCAGCCCACTTGGGTGCAGGGGTATGAGGTCCGTGCTCGCGATGGGGCCAGCCTCATTGGGCCAACATTGGCAACGGACCTTAGCATCACCAACAACTCTTTCGACTTGTTCTCTGACACAACTATTATCTTAAAATATGTGCCAATACCAGTTTTCAAGAGAGGGCCCAGATACTCGTCTCGGCCAAGATCCCCGACACGTATGAACTTGTACACGCCGCAAGAGGTGTCTTCGAGATGTTGGAAACCTCACTATCATATATGCTCCATACCTACAAGGAGCCCAAGATCGTTCACCCGGCATTCTGCAGGTTTCATTGGCTGGAGCACATTACATATGGAAGCGTATCGGAAGGAGAAATCGTCGCCATTCTCAAAATGGCGGGTAGGATGTGGCAAGGGGGTACAAGAGAGCGAGAGAAGTTGAGAAGTTGGCGGGTGCGATGGGTGTGGATTCCTGGTAGGAAGATTTTCTCTTGGATTAACCTTGATATTCGTTTTTGAGCATGGAAACCTTTTGACTTTCAAATTGGGGACCTTGTTACTGAATCCTTCCTACCTTGCGAGCGTTTGTTTGCTACCTATTGTTTTTCTACAGGTCCGCGCTGAGAAGCCTCTTATCTCTTCTCGTATAGAGCGCTGTAATTCAGTAGGTTTTTGGAGTTTTAGCGGGGATTTCTACAGTAACAGCGCAATTGCATTTCTGTTCATCCTACCTATTCTTCTAGGGGCGACCGTTAAGTGGAGCGCGTCGGGAGCGCCTTTTGCTCACAGTGACAGACGTCGGATCGCAGTTGCCCGGGCCCCAGGCAAGGCTGGATTTATAGAGGTATCGATTATTTCTGCCACCTCTCACCTACCAACCTATTTAATCCCCCTCATTCCTGCCCTTCCTCGACCTCGCTTTCCTTCTTCCTTTTTTTGTCAAGTGAGCGGGTTACACCACCAGTCGTCACCCTTTCCTTGACTCGATCATCTTCGACATTTTGATTGTCGATCGCAGCGCCCACCTCTCGCAACAGGTAGGTACTGAGCGCGCGCTCTTGGTTCGAGCCTTTTGCAACGATCTCCAAATCAGCTTGGAATCAGAACTGAGCCCTATCAACATCGTGATCGACGACCGCCACAACTACTCTCGCCATCACATTATCAGCGTCTCTTGATCGACCTAGCGCATCAAACATGTGTCTTCGTCGAGTTCAGCAATCCAGAGTAAGTCTTCGATCACCTCGTTTGTTGATTCTTCGCACCTTGATGTTCCATAACCCCCCACAACGCGTTCACGCGTCCTCGATAACGGCCCACAACCTAGCTCTTCCCTGTCGCGCGCCTGGCATCCTGAATTGCTTTCATCTTCTTCCACCATCCCATAGCTTATTTCATTTGGTCCAACCTTCACATCTGACGTAAATGTACTCAAATGATTTTGCGTCTTTATATACATGACTTGATATTTTGAGCATCTGCTAATATCCATCCAGACATTCCGGCGACTAGCTTCTCTGAACGACCGTACTTTGCTCACATTACCTCCATCGCACATATCTGGCACCGGCTCACGTTGCAAACATGGACGACGCCCCGACCCTTGTGGAACTCCTTGAGGCGGCTTTTGCGCAGAATGATCCAAGGCTCTCACAGTGGTGGCAGATACTCCGTAGGTCGTCGGCGCACCAGATATCGTAGAATCACAACTACTAACACACGCGGCACAGTCTACATGGAGAACAATCTTGTCAATCCCGCGTCAGGCACCATCCGGCCTTTCGAACAGTTCGCTCAGTCAACGCACGCCCATCCACATTTCGCGAGAAGGGCATACGAATACCTGAGATTTCACAAGCAATCTCGGACGAGCAGAGCAGCATTAGAGACGATTGGGCACACGAAGCCGGGCCTTCTGACTTCCCTTCTATCACCAAATGGGGGCCTCGCTGAACATGAGCGCATCACCAATCGCCGCAAGCAACGGACAGTGCGGCCCGAGCAAGCCTTCGTTGCACATATCAGTTCTGACGCGGAATTCTGGGCAACCGCAGGTGCCCTCAAATCTATCAACAACAATCCTGTTGTTGACGCGGCAACTGCGAGAGATATCCCAGTCACATACGAGGCAAAAATGGCCTGTGTGAGATTTATGGTCGATGCTCTCAGGGACATGGCCCAGAAGCTGCGTGGAGACCTCAAAGAAGCCAACACGATCAGGTGCACGTCCGATTGGGCACTGGAGGCCGTGGCCTGGGAGTTACTGGTGCGTTCATGTTTCTTACATGTACTGGCTCCGTGATGTTTAAGCATTAGCTAACTTCAACCGTTGCAGGAGGCTGCCATGGCTGCGCAACACGGAATGCAGAACGTCTATCCGTGGGCGACTGCTTACTTCCACGAACAATACCCCAATTTCACAGCACGATGGAATGACTTGGTGGCGCTCGTCATGGTAAGCACAAATCGCATGAGGCACTCTTACTGCTCATATCCCTGTCATCTTGCCAAATCAACAGCTAATGGGTTCTCTATCAGGGGTCGAAGGCAGCAGCGTCCAACTTGTTGATCCCGTCCTACGCGCAGCGATTCGCTAATGATCCTGGCGGCGAGTTCAAGGTCAGTCATCTCTCGATACTGAAAGCCTCGAGGTATTCTTATTTCGAACATGATACTAACATCTCTGTAGAGAAAAACAAGTAACAAACAATCAAATCTCAGAAAAGACAACTTGGTCGCAGACCTTGTTGCACGTCTTGCCGCAATGGAGGCTCAGGTGGCTGTAGTTAACGAAGAAGGTCAACCGGCCGTTGTCGACAACAACCATGAGCAACTTCCAATTCCATCACCAATGTCCCCCAATCGTCCACCTGCGCCCACTGCAGTGCATGGCTCAGTTCAGCAGAGAGTTCTGCCTGTATCTCCCCTCAACGGCATACCCGCCCGCTCTCCCATTAGCTTTGGTCAGCCCGTCGCGTTCTCTGCCTCGACCCCCTCGAGACCGGCCACGCCAGCTACTCATTCAAGGAGGAGGCAACACCCTTCTACCACTCCGAGCGGAAACTTCAAATACGGTCAGCCTAGTAGCTGGCCTACATCCGGTGTAACTGCGGCTGCTAGGCAGTCTGCTGCCCCTCTCACGAGACCTATCGTCACCCAGCCCACCTTCTATGACGCAGGCGCCTCTCCGTAGGGCGGAGAGGCCGGCGCCAATGGAGACGAAAGCTTAGTGGATATCTACTTGAGCTTGCGTGCAGCGCTTCAAGATAGAATGGCAGATGTCAACAGGAATCCTTCCACGTCATCTTATCACCCGAGCCAAGCAGCGCCGGTGATCGATGAGCAGTATAGGGAGGCGGTGCAAGGATCTATCGTCCCGCAAAAAGCTAATGGTACGACCTCCAGCGACAGTCAGCTCGAGTTGAGCTGGAACGATTCTCTTCCGGACGGCTACAATCTCCAAAGGGATGTCGCCTTCTCACACGCTGACGATGCCGCTACTGGCCTTCAGGAACTGTCTGGGTCCCAGGGAACAAGTCTGGACTTATTCCAAACAACAGGAGGCTATGGCAACAGCGGTGACATGTTTCACGTCAATGCGGTCGACGATTCAGCGAGCAACGATGAACCAGCAGCAAACACTGGTTCCCGAACCAATCCGAATGGGCAGCAAATCGATGGCCCCGGCATTTTTGACATCAATGAGCCATACATTAGTCATAAAGCCTTTGGTGAGCCATTTGGTTCGAACCAGGGGTATGCAAACCACGGCGAATCCTTCCATGATGTGACTGCTCAGCCCAGCGCTTACGCTTCAGTCATTGACAGGAGTCAAGTACATGACTACGAGTACGGCTGGGATGCTAATCCTGGTTACCATCGTGACGATGCAGGGGACCTGTTTGCCGACAGTTTCCTCGCCAATCAAACAGCGGATCGCGCTGTGGGTGCTGGCAAGAAGAGGAAGAGGGGAACTGAAGAGGAAGATGAGGATGAAATGCCTCGTGCTCAGAGGTCTCGCCAGAGTTAAGTTACACTCATGGGGGACATGAAAACTAGGGCACCAAGGCAGAGCTATAAGGCAGTTGGAATGAAGGAAGCTAGGTCGTGCATTAGGCTCATATTTTTCATTCATCGTACTTTACACCAGCTATTGTGTCTATGTCCCTTCATGTGAGTGACTCGTCTGGTTTGCTCCTTCGCGGCTTGTCAATCTCCCCATGATTCTTTCGTGTGTTATACTCTGACAAGCTCAACACCTCTGCATGATTCACAGGGTAGGTACCTGCCCCTGCTCTTCGAGTGATCGCTTACGAGCCCATAGGACACATGAAGGTATAAGAAGCCCGCCTTCCTCTTAACTGAAGTGAAGGTACAGCTCTTCCCCCAACTTACCTACCAACAGGCGACGGAGCAAGTCAGCTAAGGGGAAATCTTCGCCTAGAAGCCTCATCCTTCTAGGTTCCTTTTGATAACAACCAGCTTGAGCAACGTTTTGGACTAGAGGTAGGTAGTCCTACGAACGGTCAAGCCTCAATTCTTGGAGTCGCTTTTACTAGTCCTGGTGTATCCTTCCCTCGATTTGCCCTTCAAGTTTGATTCAAGCCCAAGCTTTGCTCAAGTGAACATCTTGAAATGAGATATATATCAAAACCTTATATGTTATGTATTTACTTGATCTCGGCCTCTAGAGGTGTATATTCTTCTATCCTACACCCTACTTCTTATCTCTATTCCTCTAGCCAACAAAGAACCGAAAACATCAATTCCGTGACCACGCCCCCAACTAGGAGTTAGGAAACAACGACATAACATCGACGAAGGAATCAAAGCAAAACGTTCACCTTACTTTACCTATATGTACCCGCCTACCAGCCACTTGATTCCTTGGAGAATAATGACAATTACCTCTATTCATTCGAACAACCGAACTTCATAGGAATGGCCTACCGTCAACTCAGAAGTTACAGGCACGCCAATGGCATTTTTTCATGCCAATGTTGCTGATAGCCAGGCCACCGGAGTGTGAACTTCGGGCAAGCCAGCCACGAATTTGAAGACGCCGGGGTTGCGACACCTTCTGGAACCAGCCAGATGCCGGCGGGCGATTATGGCCCATTTGAAACCAGTGCAATTGATAAAGAATGGAATCAGTGGCTGGGAGACGTTGATCAGCCAAACTCCGACGTTGGAGACGTGACAAACTCGGCCATTGTCGCCGGCCATCCTGCTGGCGATTTGTTCGCCGATGCCACCACCGGTACTCTCGCCAACAACATGGGTGTAACAACCCGGCTGCCAATCAATAACAGCAAATTGATATCTGAGAAGCAGCGATCATAGACGGTCATTTCGCCGACAACACTCACGGCAGCGTTGAACGGCCCATTAAAGTGTTCATCCCAGCTTGCCGGTTGCTCCAATTAGGGGAGAAGGAACTTCTCACCGAGGCACTTCGTCTTTGTCCTTGAATTACAGATCCTTTCCCTAGAACGGAGGGGTCGACGAAGGGCAAGATATCGGCGCGGTGTACGGGCAATCGAGTGGTCAAGGACTTCAAGGCGTAATGAGAGATGTGAGTGACAGGCAGCTCGAGTTGAGATGGAAAAACTCTGTTCCGGACGGCTACGATCTTGAAAGGGGCGTCGCTTCCTCCCTCGTCGATGAAGCTGCTACCAACTTCCAGGATCTAGTTGGTGTCCAGCAAGGGGAATCACGGAGGCTACCAAGCGATGGGAGGTTATCACTACGGTAGGGCTACCGGCAGCAGAAGAATGCCAAAAGAGGTACCTCTACACTTCTGCCCCTGAACAACAATAAGAAATCGAGGGGGTTTGCGATGGGCGGCGTGGACGACGACGACAACGAAGAAGAGCAGCCCCAAACTCCCCCTTGGCCGCCCTTCTTCGTCGTGCGCCAGCATTGAGACGAGGCTTTCCAGCCATCACGAGCCCACACCACCGGCTGTCCGTAACAACCGCAGTCTGAACACAGATCAGCTGTGTTTTTTTCCTTCCTCCTGCCTGTCCGCCGATGGCTTGACGTCCTGGGTCAAGTATATAGAGTCAAAGACGAGACACAGCCTCCAGGGTATCGCTAGCGTCTACATCTAGCGCTTCGCAAACGATCCTGACCATGAGCTCAAGGTACGTGATATTACCCCCTCAGCCCCAACGATCAGTACTCCTTCAGTTACTAACAGCTTTTGTAGCGCAAAATTGACAATAAGGACACCAATTTCAATAAAGCATCGCAGCTCCGCGATTTGAAGGCCCTGATGCCGGATGCTAACAGCGTAGCAAATTCTTCTGCGGTTGTTTCCGCCGCTGGCTAGGGTCCCGCGGACTCCATTGGTCTTCCCGCGCTTGCTCATCCCAAAGCTAGAGCGCCTACCTACTGGAACTACATAACACCCGGGCTGGATGGCCGGCTTCCCAGGCTGTCCCCCTGTGGCGGGACACCTTCTATTGTCACTGAGGAACATCAATCACGACCCATGATGACCATTGAGAGTCTAGTTCCCCGAAGTCCACTCGGCGGGATGGACCCAATCTCCCCTGCTCAACTTACCACACCCGCGAGCCATGCCCGAGGCAATGCAAGTGCTTCTGCTAATCCTCATGCTGGTCAATGGCAACCAGCTGCTGCCGAGTAGCCGCTCGCCACCACACCGTCGACTCTGCCTGTAGCACTTGTCTCTCCCTAGGATGGAGAGAACAGCAGCAGCGAGCACGCAAGCGAGATGGCGATGGCGAATGTGGAGCGTCTCTCTTACGGCGTGCCAAATCCATGTCCGAATCAAGCGGCTACGGGGCAACAGGCTAGTGGGAACCAGTTGCAAAGGAACCGACAGGAATTGGACTCCGACGCATATGAACGCAGCCAGGTCAACGATGACTTTGCTTATTTGGAAGCAGGGTTGTTCGAACAGTCCAGCTTCGGCCATCCGGGGGCGAGTTCGTTCAACAATGCTGCCAGGACAGAAGTTCTGAGCCAGCATAGCGATTCTGAACAGCTTGAGCACATGAGTAGGGGCAATCTCGACATCGATGTTCCAAGCTTGGATGACCAAGCCTTTGATGGTCTGACAGGTGCCAACATGGCGCACGCGTCTTCCGATGGATTATTTGATAACGCGACAGTTCAGCAGGGACATCCAGCGGCGGGGGCAGGCCAGATTATACGGCCGCATATAGGAGTTGCGCCCGTCTCGCGCGTCAGGGTGTATTAGGTGTTGAGAAAAGCCGCGTCTATGGGACAGTCATCGACGCTGAGATGTCGAGGTCAAATGGAATACAATGGTGGCGGAGGGCGGTGTTGCGGTTACGCTCTGCTCTATCGTCATTGTCTGCTTTCTTTGTTTGGGCTATCCCTTGTCAGCTTGGGCGGCTCCGATAGACGAGTACTCGATGTAGAAGAGAATACAAGGATGAAGCAAAAAAACCCTCTGTGGCGACTGGGATGTCTTGTGCGGGCAAAGACAAGCGGACGTGGCGTGGTCTTTCGCCGGGCAGCCGGAGAGCTCCATGCATGCAATGCATATCAGCCGCTGGGTGCATATCGTCCATATGCAGATCCGCGTTGAACGATGCCCGCATGCAGAAGCACCTACATGTACTTCCCCTCTCCTCACGACTTCACCTCCATGATCCTGTAGTCCTCTCCCTTTCCCGTCCTGACACCGCCCCATCCCGACACTCCGACCTCTGTCTTCCCGGAAACTTCCCATCGTGGGAGCGGAAGTCATCGCCTGGAGCCTTGATCAGAGAGGAGCTCAAATATGGACATGCCATCTTTCGAGAAAAAACCTACCCGCTCTTCTGCGACAACGTCAAGCAGAATCACCGTGTCGACTTTCGCCTTCCCTGCTAGATTTATCGCCATCATCAAAGTCATATGCGCCGCTGTTGACTATTTTCATTCACGTTACAAAGTCACCTTAGAATGGGGGGGGGACCATCGGTAGAATATCGACTGCCGACTGTCGACACCGACGTCGATCACCACGCTCATGGTATCAGCCGCAGACGTCTGGGTGTGGAGTTGGGTTCAAACAGCTCCCCCTTTCGTGCATTCTTACATCATATTCTGCTTGTCCCCTCTCTCTTCCTTCTGGTCGCTGACATCCTTCTTCAAATATTCAAATATTCTTCCATCTCTAAACGCAGGGTCGCGGTGGGCGAGGCGGCGGCCCGTGGCTCCTCGACGGGCAAGCAGGCGACGGTATAGTTTCGGGACTTTGACTTGAGCAACAGGCACATGTTCTTGGGGTCAGCCTTTTGAAAGCCTCGTTCGTACATCGTTCGTTCGTCATGGCCGGTTAAAAGGGATAGGTCGGTCGAGCGTGGCGATGAGTCGGTGGCTCGCGACATGGATTGGTCGTCATTCTACTCAGACAAGGCATCAGCGAAGAGAACAGCTTTGACCAGGGGACGATGAAGGAAACTCGGCTGTTTTGACTCAGATGGTGAGGCACCGACTTGTGACAGACGACAACGACGAATCGACGGACAAACGTGTCCCAGGAGACTGTCTCTTTACTTGATGTTCGATCCGTTCCGGTGAATCCTGAACTGGATTTGTCTCGTGGAACCTTAGAGCGACACAAACGCGCACTGCTGAGGCTGGACGAAAATGAACAGAGTCAGCGCTGGCTGAACGTTGCGAGTATCGGAATACGGATGAGTGTCGGGCAGATGTTGGGCGGCATGCGAGGCCTGATGCGACGAAACATTTGGAGGGATTGACGAGCTCGACTTAGGAGCATGAACGCCTCAAAATTATTAGTGGGAGCTCATCTGCAAGCTGCGGGGCGCAGATACTCAGACTTTGGGTTGTTCCTTCACTCTGACCTTGGTGTTTCCCTCGCTGCCGAAGCGACTTCGCCTGCTGGTTTCTCCCCTCTGGAGGTGGCCCGTGCTTGTAGACTACCTCGTTATTTTCCATTCTTTCCCCTCTTCTCGTTTGTCCTTGTTCCCCAAAGCCACCCACTACGCTTTCTTTTTCTCAAAAACTTTACCGACAGGTCAACATCCATCTGGAGATACTTCTACTTCTTCTTACTGCTCGTTCTCTTCTTTGTAAGCGGCATCATTGCCTTGCACTTCTCTAATCTCTTTCCTCCCACACTCGTACACTCTTCACCACAGCCATGAATGGCCAACCATGGCCCTCGAGGTAAGTTACTCTATTTACTAATTGCATATCGTCCTCGCGTGCAGAAACATGGATCGTCCGATCGCTGCCCCGCCTCGCCAGAGGTACATCACAAGCCAAGCACATTTCTACCAGCGCAAGGCTGAAAAGGAAGCAGCGGCCTTCAGCGCCATGGTGCCTGGAAACTTTGCCGATTTTCCCACGGGTGCCGCCGATCAGTGTACCCTCGTGGACCAGATGATGACGGCAATGAAAGATACGACCGCCATCCTGGACAATCCGGATAACAATGCCCATATCAATTGCATCCGGGCCAAATCCGATGATGAAGTAGAAGAGAAGGCGTGGGAGGTCATGGTAAGTCTTGACATCGAAACACCGTTGCCTGTCTTCTGACACGTATTGTCGCAATGTAGTTCGAGGCATATGACGCTCAGAGAGGCAAACGCGTCTCCAGACTCCTCACAGCCTACTTCCCGAACTTCATGGATCGCTGGGAGGCCTTGGTGGCACTGATGCGCGTACGTATCCTTACCTAGATTGTCAAGACCGAGTCACGAAAGCGTGGCTAACTTTACACTACTGGCAGCACTCCAAGGCTGCCGTAGCAGACCTTTTTGCCATACACTACATGGATCGATATGTACACAACCCGGTGACGGAGCTTGATGTAGGTCTAAACAACTCCATTCTTCTCATCCAGCCGGCTACATGACTGACATCTGTTCTACGAAGACCAAACTTTCCAACAACTATACGAACAAAATGCGGGACTTCAACAAGGATGTCAAGGCTGCGAGCAAGTTCCGGGGCTCCGTGACCACTGTTGACCGAATCACTTCGATTTACGACGCGGCAGGAAATCTCGTCAGTACCTTCGTCCGTCCTGAGAAACGCCCCCTGAGCGACTTTCTAGGTCACCGCTTGGCTGGAATTGCGAAGCCGAAGCGAGTCAGAACCAGGACCACCACTGGAGATTCTGCAACATCTGGACCGACCTCTAGCAACAGTGGTAACTCGGAACAGCACGTCGGGGGCACAGCTGGCAGCTCTATGACCCCCATTCAAGAGGAAGAGGAGGATCTTATGGCTGCCATCCAAGAAGATGGAGAGGGTGTTATGGCTTTAACTCAAGGAAAAGAGGAGGGTGCTATGGGCGAGGCCGACAAGGACGACGGAGACAAAGCGCTTGAAGGTCCGAACGAACCCAGCACCCCCCATCCCGACGCCGTTAATTCCCATTTCGACAGTCGGTACCCCACGCCCGTCCACCATCTTGCACTCGGCGAACAATCCCACATCGACCATAAGGATTCTACCCCGGACAAGCATCAGTCGCTTGGCGACCAGTCTGAGCAACCTTCGCCCAGTGGGCATAGGGTTCCGCCTAATAACGAAACGGATGCGGATCTTTCTCCTTTTTTTGCAGAAGCGTACCATGAGCCCATCGATAGTTACAATGGGGAAGATGTCAGCAGCCAAGCGGCGCTGGATGGTAGAGTTACCAAAAATGGGAACTATCCGTACGAAGTTGACCTCGACTGGTACGAGCTCTAAGATGGAGAAGATGGGTCACTGAGGAGGCAAGCGCTCTCGGTGCCTTGACTTCTGACTTCAAGTCGAGGTCTAAAATGGAGTGGGTGGCTAGGCAAGATACAAGCTGCATCTGGAAGGTGATTTACGGACGCAGTGTTCGTGTTGAGCAGGCCTCTGAGCGCGGCTATAGTGGTATATCCCGCCCACTGTCAATGGCTTCTACGGAAGTAGATGGAGCTCGAGTTGGGCTTCGGTTCGTTCAGCGCGGAGCAAGCCGTTTCGAGTCTGGAGCAAGATGCCCAGATCCTGTTATTTCTAGGTGCTTGTTCAGAATATTTTTCATTTTCCGTGCTGGGGAAACCAGATTTTATATTTTGAAGGCGTCTCATTCATGTCTCTAGCTCGTCTTCCATGCGCCTACTTGTACTATTTCCATGGACAACTGCGCTCAATTTTTGCCTACATTTCGCGAAGTCACCCGTGACTGCTTCATAATCAGTTCTTTCATGACACCATGAATTGTCCTTCCAAGTTTACAGATTCGCCGACTTTGAGACAGCGGTTCGATAATCTTCAGTGCAAGTTGCCCGCATTCTCTCCTAATCAATGTCATTTCCGTCGTTCTTAGGATCATTCTCTGACGATATCAGTCTTTCAAGGGAACAACTCAATCTGTCCTTGTATTCATCCCCTCGCTTTTCAGGACCTCCCTCCTATATATCTCATCGCGTACCTTTCATCTGATGTGTTTCATGTCCTCGCTGCCGATGGGCAACTGCCGTCAATCTCTTCCAGGTCCAAATGGCCCATGCGGCAGGCACCACGCTTTCCAGGCTGGCACCTTCACCTTCAAACCTGGAATTTCCCATAAAGCCCTCCCTCACCTTGGTGTTCCCCCCACTTGAATTACTTCTCTTCGTCCACCAAACTGCCTTTGCAGTCGTCAAGTGTCGGACAGCAATCTTCACGCCTGCAATTCTCATTGCACATTCTCGCTCTTTTGCTACAAAGCATTCGCACCTTTCTTCAATTCCTTTACTACGATTCCTCGTAAGTCGCGTTATCCAGCCCTCGTCGGAATCATAGCCTTCTACCCCGCCGGATTTTGGCCTCCTCGCGTTCTGCGTCCACGTCCCCAAGCACTACTCACCATGATATGTCGTACATCCATCAATCCCCAGCAATGCCAGCCCTATCCTAGAACAATGATAGTACTAGTTCCGGATACATAATGGACGTCTCGTGCTCACTATATACTAGTGACTCTTGGAGAACATGGACCCCTCGAACCCTGCCACACCTGCTCAGCAGGCGATTACCAGCTTGGAGCACTTCCGACAGATTCAAGCTGCGGAGGAGGCAGCTGCAGAGGCAGCCGCAGCCGCCAAGGGGAACACCACCGCCGCCGACTTCCCGCTCGATCCGGCCGAGCAATGTGCTTTGATTGATCAATTTGTTGCGGCCCTCTTGAACACGGACGGCATCGTCGACAACTATCGTCACGATCCGACCGAGAACTCTGAAGTGAAGTTCGTCCTTGGTCTTCCGAGAGAGAAGATAGTGAGAAAGGGTTGGGAAGTTATGGTTAGTAGCCCTGCCACTATGTGCCATACCAGTCATAGGCTTTACTAACAGTACAATTTTGCAGGATTATGATTACAAAGTCCAACGAGGAATCATCCACCCTGACGCGTTCTGCCCTGAACTACCCAACTTTATGACCAGGTGGAGGTTGACCTTGAGCACCTTTCGGGTATGCGCCTTCGTCCTACCTTGTGCCATCACCGGCGACATCGAATGCTGACATGGATGCTCAGAAATCAAAGGCTGCTTGTTCCGACTTGTTCACCCTCCCGTATTTGTGGAGGTACACGTGCAATCCGGTTGCCGAATTGGAGGTGAGCAACATTGAACGCGGCCTCCCTCTCTCATTTACGATGGACCTACCGCTAATGTACCTATCTACTACTCGCTCATCAGACCAAGGTCTCAAACAATCACACAAACAAAATGAAGGAGTACCGAAAGCCAATCGATCAAGCTTGAAAGTTTGGTGGCTCGTACGAGACCATCAACAACATCACTACGGTCAGAAATGCGGCAGGCGAGACCATCGAAACGCTCATTAAGCCTCAGAAACGCCTTCTTTCAGAGTTTCTGGACGACGACCTGGCCGCATTTGCGAAGGCCAAGCGACAGAGAAGGGTTACCGGATCTTCTTCAACCTTCGGAGCTACATCTAGTAGCCCTGTCAGCGACGGCAATGCAGTAGCGACACAGCCGGTTGAGGGTGTAGCTGGCGGTGTTTTGGCCACCATCCAGGAGGAGCCCTCCTATCAAGGCGACTACTCCCACGATCATCTCTGAACGAGCAATATACTGGTTATCATCCTAACCAGTACTCTGCTCCTCCCAATGATCATGCAAATGGTGGATTGCCTATTTCGGATCAAGAGGCACAGCAACCCGTCGACCCGATGCCGTACTTGGATTTCGGCAGGAATTTCGAGGATAACCAGCCTATCGCTGGTAACTCCGGAGGCAGTGGCGGCAGAAAACCTGCCAATGATCGATAAGCAACTTGCTCATCAGCAGAACCAAGAGGGATCAGGACCTTTTATTGTCTCCAATGTCCTCAGCAGCCCTGAGCCCGGTTTCGCCAACTACAGCCCTCTTGACCAGTACCAGGCGCCCCATCACCAACAGTCATTGGACGGAGAGTTTGGCTACAACTCGCTGGATCAGTATCTGACTGGTCCCGAGCCCGGAGCAGATGCCGGTCCCTTGATGTGGGATCAAGAGCATCAGCAGCCCGACGATTTCATGGATTTCTTTGACCTCGACGAATACATCCGCCGTTCCCAACCTATTGCTGGCAGTTCCCGAGACAATGGTCGCAGTCAAGCTGGCGAGGGATCTGAATCTGCGGATCAGTCCAAGAACTAGTCCTTAGGTATCAGCCCCGGCGACTGATCGATGTACCACTAATCATATCGATCTTTCGAGCAAGTGCTCCATAAGTTCAAGATTGGACTACTGGTCCAACCTCCATCGTGGAAGAGGTGGTGGGGAGGACGACATGCAAGTTATATCGGGATGGCGGCTGATATGTCTGCGACATGGCTTTCTGTGTCGTGGACCGAACTCGAGTTGGGTTCTTATTTTTGAAACGGCGCGGCGTATGGCGTCCTTCCCTGGTGCAAGTCGCCCAGAATATGTTTTATTTTGTCTTGTAACTTCTCTTTGAGCCTTTTCTCGGGCTATCGGCTATTCTATGCTTCTCGACAAGGACTCGATCCTGTTCTCACTCTCCTATAGCAATGCTTTCTTACCAGCTCTTACTCTAATTTGCTTTCATTCTCCTTTCCAGTAATTACCGCAGCGGAAATATGGGCAAGGCAGGTAGGCTACTTGGGGGATTAGTCGCCTCCTCTGGTTTCCTAGCATTCTTTTGACAAGTAGCCTACTTTTGGCAAGTAGGCTACTTAAAAATAAAGGCTTCTGATTGGCCGGATTTAGGTATAAAATAATAAAAACTAAAGACCCCTAAAAGGACCTTCTGAAAGGTCTTTATAAGGGTCATTAGTAGTAGCTATTATAATAATCTTCTAGTATACCTCTTAGTAGTCTTCGACTTCGAAGTCCGGATGAAGGTATTTATAGTAATACTTCCGCGCGAAACTTTTCGCGCGAAAAAAGATGACCACCAGCGGGATTGAACTGGTGACGCAAAGAAAGAGAACGACGAAAAGAACCATTGAGCCACTAGCCCAATTAATCAATAAAGATATTTATTAATCTCAGCTATATAGGAAGGAGTAGTTCTATAATTATATACTAAACTTAGAAAAATTTTTTAGCAGTCCTTCTAGCGGACCTTATAGCGCACGGTAAATCTAGCCAATTAGAAGTCCTGATTTTCAAGTCGCCTACTCAAATCAAGTAGGCTACTCAACACAGGTAGACTTCTGGCCTTCAAGTAGGCTACCCAACTTCTTGATTTTTCCGCTACGGTAAATAGAATTGGTCACAGAACGCTTTTCCTAAAATCATGAATGAACGGAGGGCTCTGCTTGTAGCAGCTCATGATTGAGTGTCCCTCGTCTGATTTCTTCGACCGCAACTGATCTCTCCCAATTGCAGGTGGCTCTAGCTTGTGGATAGCCGCCAGTCGGCACAGCACGCAACCTGAGAAATCTCCCTTCATTTTACCCGCCGCGCCCCAAACTGCCAAATTCCTCCCCACCTTTCGGGTTGTCCTCGCTCGCCCTTCTCCCAAAAGCGCAACCTCACAATTCCAACCTCAACCTACGAATCGCGTCAACTCGTTGAGAATATAGACGGAACTTAAATACTCACCCCTCACTCTTGAACATAAATCCCAACAACCCTCATGCTCCTCCTCAGAGGTTCATTACCAGCGCAGCCCAGTTCCATCAACTTCAATAAGCGGCTAGGGTAGCAGCGCTCCAGATCGCCAACGCAGTAAAATGCGCCGACTTCCCTAGAGGAGATGACGAAAAGTTGGTGTTAATCGACGAGTTGCTAGCGGCCATGACCAACACGGTTGGTCTCGTCGACAATGTGGGCAATAACCCTGACAAAAACGGGAATGTCAAGGCCATCCGCAATATGACAAGGGAGAGGCAAGAGGAGATGGCATACATATAGACTTAGTTGGTCAATGAACATCCTCAAAACTCCCTGGACGCGTCCCTTGATTCTACTTACACTCATCTACTCATAGTACAAAATGCGCGATATCCAGCTAGGAATTCGCAATCCAGATCTCTTCACCCCTGAGTTTCCCAACTTCATGAGTCGGTTCAGTCTTCAAGCATCGAACGCCTTCGACAATGCCGATCTAGATGTCTCCTATCATCACCACACCGACTAAGATGCTGCGTCCGTTCCACAATCAACTCTGAACGAGCAAAAGCTGTCGCGATGAAACTTATCCGACGCTTTGCGTTGTGTTCATCGGGAGACTCCCGACAGGAGGCTAGGGACCGCGTCACTAAAGCACGATCCCTGATTCATGGTAATAAGTGGGTGCTGGAGATCAAACTTGAGGCGAAGGAAATCAAGATTACAGAGCCAGACATCCTAGAGGCTAAGATCACTGGCAAGCATGCCAAAAAAACACACCACTCCAGCCACGAGAAAAAGGGTGAGGCAGTTTACCAAAGATGGGCGCCCCTTCGAAAGTCGGGAGTTCGTTGAGACTATCCCAACCAGTACTCTACTTCTCCTAATAGTTATACAAATGGTAGATTGCCTATTTGGGACTAAGAGGCACAGCGACCCGTCGACCCAATATTGTACTTGAATTTCAACAGGCATTTCGGGGATAGCTAGCCCATCGCTAGTAAGTCTAGAGGCAGTGGCGGCAGAAATCCTGCTAATACCCAGAAGTCTGGAGCTGTGAGTAAACCCGATGATGAGCCTCCTAGCGGAGCTAGCGGTAATTGATCGATGACTGAGGACATATCATGATCTTCGAGCAAGCGCTCGAGAACGTCAGGTTTGGACTAGAGGTCTGATTTCTATAAAAAAAGGGGTCGTGGGTGGGACGTGATGTAGGTTGTATCGGGGAGATCACTTTGTGTCTTCGAAATGGTTTTCTGCGGCGTGAATCGGGCCCGAGTTGGGTTCAAGATTCCACTTTCCTGAGCGCGGAGTTGGACGGTTTCATTTAGTGCAAGTTGCCCAGATGTTGTTTTATTTTGTCTTGTAACTTTTCATTTGGTCTTTGTCAGCCTATTCGCGTCTATACATAGGTATCAGGCTAGGACCTGTTACCGGCTTCCTTCTTCTGGAATGCGCGCGCCTTGCCCACCTCTTCCCAGCAGAGAGTAAGAGATATATCTCCGTCAATCCGTCTCATAATTTACATTGCAAACGTTGATTCTTCTCAATATCGCTTGTCGTTCTTTGTGGTAGGTTGTATTAAAGACCACAGATTTCAGATCATCAGTTTTTCATTTGGTACCTCTACCCACTCGTAACACGGCACGGTAAATGCATTCGGTCCGTCATTTGGTATAACTACGAGTTTTCTTCAATGAGTAGGCGGTTATTAGGAAGGAGACACAGTTGTCGTTATATACAATACTATAAGCATCATGATCCAACCAGCCGACACCGAAATCCCAACCTCGCCGGCGAGTTACCCAATCTCCTGAATATCTCCACTACTTGTTGCCACGGCTGCATATGGTGCAGAAGCGCCTTCTCTCCCTTACTCCATCATTAACAACTTGATGCTGGCATAGGTCCCTAGAACTCAAAGGCTGCCTATTCAGACTTCTTTGCCCTTCCATTTCTGTGGAGGTACACTTGCCACCCAATTCCGGGGTTTTGAGAGAAAGTGTCCAACAATCATGCCAACAAAATGAGAAAGTATAACACTGAGATCAAGGGCGTCAGGGACAACGAGCGTACGGTTATCGAGATCGGCAACATTGCCGAGGTCAGAAACGTTTTTGGGAACCTCGTCAAAACAATCATCAAGCCGGTGAACCCTCCCTGAGCGGTTTCCTCGACGGGGAGTTACCCGTTGAGCTATTCAAATCGAAGCGATAGGAAGTCGCAGGATCAGAAGCTACGAGAGTGACTACGAGGACTCTGACAGAAGCGTCTCGTTGAGCACAGGTATCTTCCATCTGATGTCCACGTCCGCAACTGATTTTTCCCCATCGTATTGCAGGTGACAGCCGGCATCCCACCCGGCAAGCACCGCAAGTTAACCTAGAGGTAAGAAATGCCCATTCACTTTGAAGAGGCTCCAGCGATCCCCCCGCAACCCATCTTGTGCCTCTCTCTTTACTTACGTGGGCCTTCTCACTGGCACCTCCTCCAAAAGCAAAACTGAACAAAGAAAGCAACTGATCACGTCACTGTCGTCGACCCAAGAAAAGCATTTTCTACAAAATGGAACCTACCAATCCTCCTGCGCGTCCGCAGAGAATCATTAGGAACGCCGCCCATTTTCACCAGTTGGAGGCAGAGGCCAGAGCAGCGGCGCTTAGCGGTGCTAACGCAGGATACTGCGGTGACTTTCCAGAAAACGATGACGACGCACAGGGCGTGTTGATTGACGAGATGCTGGAGGCAATGGCCAATACCGCTGGCGTCGTTGACAATGACAGCTCTGACGTCAAGGCTATTCGCGATCTGCCTAGAGACAAACAGGAAATGATGGCATGGAGGGCCCTGGTAAGTGGCTTACATCACAAAATCCAGATACTTCCCATGAAATCAATACTAACGCACCCTTTCGTGCAGTTCAAAGTTCGCGACACCCAGCAAGGCCTTCATAACCCGGATATCCTGACGGCACGCTTCCCCGACTTCACGAGTAGGTGGAAGGCAGTTTTGGCCCTTGTGCGCGTAAGAGTCTCCTCCGCCTTGTTTTCTTCTCGGCAATAAGATGCTGACGCCAGGGCTCAGTCTAGCAAGGCCGGAGCCACCCAGTTTTTTGCGGTGCACTACCTGGACCGCTATACAGCGAACCCTATCATGGAGCTGGACGTAAGTTTAAGCGATCGCATGTCTCCGGAATTACCACAGAATGGGCATACCTCTAACGTGCTTTTGCCTCCGTCAACTGCTTTAGACCAAAATATCAAACAACAACACGAACAGAAATAAGGACTACAACCATGAGCTCAAGGCAGCCAGGGATCATGGTCAAATCGTTACGAAGTTTGATGATCGCGCCGAGATCAGAGACGCCTCGGGAACACTCCTCAAAACATTGATGAAGCCGAGGAAGCGCGTTCTGAGCGAGTTTCTTCCCCCGGAACTGGCTCAGTCCCCGGCGGCCAAGGTGAAACGTTCTAGGGGAAGCCGCAGGGGCATGGGAGCTTCTGCAAGTCCGGTTGCTGCGTCTACTACTGCTGCTCTTACTGAAGGACAGACTACCGAGAACCACCCTGCGAGTCTCCTCCTCTCGATTCAAGAGGAAGAAGAAGTGTACGAGCCTCTTCAGGCGAATTCGGCCAGCGTCCCCGTCGACCATCAATATTTTGATGCCGAGCATCTCGACGTAAACGCGTTCCAGAGAGACGAGGTCCAGAATGATGCCGACCAGAGCAACGCCTTCATCCGCGGGCTGAACTTCTTGATGACGAACTGTTCAGTGGCGACCAAAGTCATACCGACCTGAGCTACGCCGACCTGGATAACGCCAACCTGGACAGTTCCGAGCATAGCCGCGCCGACTATAGCGGCGCCAACTTGACCAACATCAGCCTTACCGACACGATCTTGAACAACACTGGCTACAACAGCACCGGCCTTCACCCAAGCATCGCCACTCTCGAAAATACAGGTCAGCATCACATGCCGCATTACCCTCAGCTCCCGTCCCTCGAGCATGAGCATAATCACAGCAACACCAACTATGGCAGTAACCAGGCTGGCGCCGGACGTGCAGCTGTGAACCCATCTGGCCGTGTGGTTCAAAACGCAGCCGGCGCAAATTGGTGGGTGGAGGACAAGTCCTCTGACGAGTGAGCACTTCTGCTCACGGTTGAAGCTTGACCCAATCCCCCAAAAAGTGCCGGTCCGCTGGCTTGGGTACATGGAGGTGGAAATTCGAATAGTATCGGAAAGAGTAATGATATTGTTGGCCGACTGGATGTCAGAGAGCCCTCTTTGGCCTCAAAACTTCCAACACGTCAATTATGACCTAACTTCCGTCGTAACCCTCATTCATCTTATCCTTGGGCGAATGTCAAGCAGACTCAGTTCATAAGTTGGGTGTCTTTGGGCGTTTTGACGCGGGGACGGGCAGCTAAAAGAATTTGGAAGGCTAGGACATTGGTGCTGGGTGTCTGAGATCCGAGTGGATGAGGAAGGGGAAGATGCAAGTTGCGTCCAGGGATTACTCGTGATTTTGAGACGGGGTTTTGAAGGCACGAAGGAAACTCGAGATGAGTTTCTGGGGGAGTGTCAGATGCTTTTCTCTAGTGCAAGTTGCCCGGATTTTGTTTTTATTTTATCATTGCTTTCAATCTGCCCATTGTGGTGCAGACAACGTATCCCAGTGGGATATTCATTGAGTGATAGGCCATAAGCGTTTCCTTTGGGTTTCTACCTATATAAGCCCAGCGGAAGTTCATGTCTACGCCATCGTTAGGCATTTGTCTTCAATCGACTTCGAGTCGCGCCAGAGGACACCTCAGTGAACACCTTCTCAGACTTCACATGCCGCCGCCAAAGTTACCTCTACTCTTATCCATCTCCGTCAGTTCGCACGCCGCCGTGTCCAGCGATTCTCGATTCATGTGTGGACAGTGCGCGCGGCGAATATCTTTTTTCACGGCTTTCTTCCACAATGCCATCTGCACGCAAACCTTCCATCTGATTTCCGTTGACGTCCCTGTCGCCGACAGGTTCAAAATAGCAAGTGAAGGTGTCAAGGGCCAAACGCGTTCTCCACATCCTTTTTCCCATTCACTTCGGCCACTGCAAACACCTACAAAAGGCCCAACCCTTTGCTTGTATCTTCCCCGATAAACCACCGCCTGCTTTCAATACCCAAAGCCAGGACTTCCTTGATTCCGGAGGCGTACCAAGTCTGCACGCTTCCTTGAACCGAACCATAGGTATCTTCTAACATTCTTTTATCTTCAAATCGTACGTATCTTCATCCGCCCCCTCATACAAGATCGTTCCGGCCAGCTCGATTTTTGTTTGACGCGACTCGTCGTCGCTCTTCCCCACGTCATCATTGATCAGTCCCTCGACAATCCCTCAGAATGATCGATCACTTTGCAACAGATGACGGCTATGATGCCTTGTCCTTCAGGTAGGAAACGGTTACTTACTCACTTCGCAGACAATGAGCTCCAACGCTCAACTGCCCAGGCAGCGGTATATCCAGTCTATGGATGACTACTGGAGACTGGAGATGGAGGCACTGATGCTTCCGAACAGCGGTGGAGTTACTGCCTCCGATATTCCCACTACCAATGAGGAACGGTTCAGGTTGGTCGACCAAATGGTCGCAGCCTTCCGGAACACAGAAAACATCTGCGATTCTAGGGCCGACACCCACGGCCACATTAGGTTTGTCGAGGAAGAACTTACCGACAAGAGCGCAGAGCGTATGGCGTGGAAACTCTTGGTACGTAAACCTATCCCCGAAACCTACCTTACCTTAGTTTCACCCATCTACTTGAATCCTCCCGCATACAGTTACATCTGGTCAACTCTTCTAACGCTAGCACTCTGCAGGCCGAGACGCAGGCATGCGAGGGCAGCGAAGGCGATTTTCTAAGCATCCCTGAGACCAGAATCGCTAGGGCGAAGTTCAAAGACTTCACCACCAGATGGAGGGTCGTAGTTGCTGTCTTCGCGGTGAGTCTGTCCCTTCTGCTCCTTTCATAACCCCGACTCTAACCACTTTCTTTCCGGCGTAGTGCTGCAAGGCAGCCGTTTTCAACCTGTTTCAGCCCTCCATCGTAGAGAGGTTTGTCAACAACCCGATTACCGAATTGGATGTAAGACAAAGTCATTTCGCCTTTTGACATTCAGGAGCCGTCGCTTACGCTTTTACAGACCAAGCTATCCAACCTGCACACCAATCAGATCAAAGCGCATAACGCGAAGATCGCTGCCGCGGTCAAGGAGCATGGCTCCGCAGCATTTGATCGTAAGACCGGCGTGCTGAGGGACAGCGATGGCACTGTCCTTGACGTTTTACCCCGTCCACAGAAGCGCAGATTGGCAGACGTCTTGCCGCCGGACCTCATCCCACATGCGAAGGTGAAGCGCGTTAGGCGCTCCCGTCGACAGGCCCAGGCACCGGCCAACAACCAGGACAACGCCCACAACGATCCCAACGGCGACAATGATTCCAGCGGTGACAATGATTCCAGCGGTGACAACAATCCCAGCGGTGCCAACGAACATCAATCGGACAACGCGAGCCAACTTGACGACGACTACGATTCGGACAACGCGAGCCAACTTGACGACGACTACGATTCGGACAACGATTACGACCAATCTGATTGCGAGCATGACGGCGAGGGTGATGCTCAAAGCGGCAACCGACTTGAAGAGCAAGCCGCGACACCGAGTGCGCACCAGTTCCATGGCGCCTCGGATTACTCTGTTCATGAACAACACTTTATTTCCCAAATAATCGACCACGAACTAGCTCAAGCAGTTGAGATGGCGTCATCCTCATCTCGCCAGTCCGAACATCACGACCAGGAAGTCCATGGTGGTCAACTCCCTGCCTCCGGCCTGGCTTGGAGCGAGGATTATGGTCTTCAGCCAGCTGACAACGCTCAAGGTACCGGTCTTGAGGGTTTTCTCCCCGGTGATGCCAATCCCATTGTCCCCCATCACAGTTTCCCCCTTCCCATTTCCCTTTATCAGGACTCCCCCCCTAACTATTCCCTTTACCCCAACTCCCCCTACCACAGTTCCCCTCATTACAATTCTCCCCATCCCACTGTCACTCATTCCAACCATCAGTATGGCCAGCAGACCACCCCAGCTACCCGCTCGGCGGCCAACGGCGCTCAGCATGCTCGCAATCATCCGGAAAACGGGACCTTTGCGGTGGATGGAGATCTCCACGAGATCTGAAGGGGGGTATCACGTTGCCTGTCGGTATGAGGGGACCATATGGCCATCCAAAGTAAGCGGCAGCGGTTTGGTTGTCGGCTGAGAGGAATGCACACTGGGTAGGACCATGGAATTAGCTCAGTTGCGGCGTACACGAAGGTAGTCGTTCCACAAGTAAACGGCAGCAGTATACGTAGCTGTCGACTGAGAGGAATGGCTATTCATCTTCATGGGCCTTTCTAGCGAGGCGTTGGGTGTCGGCCTAGGGAATTCCATTGGTTGTTCACATGTACAAGTATTATTCCAGCTCGTTTTTTGACAAGAGCTATCAGAATTAGCATTGCGATCCAGTTTTCAATCTTCTCTCCCTATAGAAATATGTTTTTAGTGATTGTTGTCGCCTTAATGCCAGCCATTGAGCTAGTTGGGTATAGACTGCATTGTGACTAAGACTTCCAAAGCTGCAGTCTACAATATTGCACAACGCGACAACCTCGAGAGATTCGTCACCAACCTAGCCACCGAATGAAATATACTCAAACTTTATCACATACCTCATCCTTCAAGAGCTATCACTAGATGTAACATTCCCACTTACGAGACTGTCCAACTTCGCAACGAATGCGAACAAGGCGTACAAGCAAAAGATCGCAACGGCGGTCGAAAAGCATGGCTCGGCCTCGTTCAACAAAACCACCCGGGAGCTGAAGGACAGCCAGGGTGAGGTTATTGGTATATTCCCCAAGCCTGTCAAGCGCAAGCTTGCGGATGTCTTGGGCCCCGAGCTTGCGGCAAGATATCCGCAAGCTTGCGGGTCATGCCAAGGTCAAGCGTGCGAGGCGCCCGCGACAGGCGCGCATGCAGGCCAACAATGCCAACGCTAGCAACGCGACTGCCAGTAACACGGACCGCGGTAGCAACGCCAACAACCCTAACTCCCTATACAAGAACTACAGGGAGGACGGCAACTATAGCGATCACGTCGACTATAGCGAAGACGAAGACGACGACACGGACGTGGACGTCGACAACCACGATCATGGTGACCACGATGACCACGGCTACAACAACCATCATGGCAATCAAGTTGGAGGATCAGCCGGCGTGGGCTCACCGAACTAGTCCCAGCACCACGACGATGGAGTTCATAGCGACCAGTTCCCTGCCTCGTATCACGCATCGAGCGAGGAGTTTAGAGGTACCTCTAGTCATCAGCAGACCAACAACGCCCTCGCGTCAGGTATCGATCGTCAGGGCCACATCCCCAACAGTCTACCTTTCAAGATCGGTCAACCCAATGCACTCTACCCCAGTTTACCCCGTCAAACCTCTCACCTTTCCAACTTAAATAACCCGCATCCCAATACCATCCAAGCCAATGCACTCTACTCCGATTTACCCCATTACAACTCCCCGCTTCCCAACAGCCAGAATTACGGCCAGCAGTCCACCCCAGCTGCCGGCACGCAAAACGGCCAGCATCCTGGCTACGTCTACCCGGGCAATGACCACTTTGTGCTGGAGGGAGATGAATACCAGGTCTGAAGGAATGGGAGAGTAAGTCTTGAGAGAGGACGTTGTGGACTTAAACTTGATGGAACACAGAAGGATATTAAACAGATCGGGGCATTCCAAGATGATTCTCAGCAGGATGAAGAGGATGAGATGGATGGGATTGGTTCCATGCTGTTCTCTTTCACAAGGCGCTCGGGGTCTAGGCTAGGGATATTAAGTGGCAGATGTACCCATTAGAGACGTTCACTTTTTATATAAGTCTCTTCCTACCAAGACAGTACCCGAGCGATAGCATCACTTTTCAGTTTGTCATCTTCTTTCTCGCTCCAAAGATGTGTTCTGTGACGGTTGCTAGGTACCTTGACGCAAGATATGCTAGGTAGAGCCGTTGAGGTACTTCATTGCCGTCTGGTATACCCCAAGCTGGCGGATGTCTTGGGCCCCGAGCTTGCGAGTCATGCCAAGGTCAAGCGTGCGAGACGTCCAAACCTAACAAAGGCGGACTCAAGCCAGCAACACAAACGATGCCGGCAATCTTGTTTCAGACAATAATGACGAAGACGCCGAAGAAGACGCTGACCACGACGAGGACACTAACAACGGCGTTGGGACCGGCACGGGGAATTCCATTGGCTGAGGTGTTTACTTTTATTCCATATCTGATTCTTCGTCATTCGCGTTTGTTGCACCACGAAAATCTACAACGGTCGATAATCCGAGCGTTTGTGTCGAGAAGTTCTATTGAGTACTGTGAGCTTCGCGGTTGGTTGGAAGTGAACGACGTTGATGTTGTACGACGCTGGGCTCTCAGGGGCTTGCATCGCCAAGACGTTGGAAGTAAACATTCGGTGTCCAAACGACATGTCCGGTGTATGCAACTGACTGTTTGGTACCACATCTGCGGTTCGCTACAAACTTCTGTAGAGGGACTGAGTCAGTCGAAGAGCGCCTTAGATCGTCGTCATTCGTCGAAAAAGAACAAAGAGTCGATTGACGGGACGAAGTATTTAACAAAGGTGTTGTTCTGGCTTTTGTCCATTGTTCGATTCGTCAAGTGTGTTGGGGTGCACGGACCACTAACCTGCTCGAATGTTGTCGAGCATCGGCGACCGAGAACGACCTTGATACCTATGTTTCCGTCGTTGTCCTTTTCGACATGAGTCAAGTTTTGAGTCTGGATTGGAGGTGCCCTGTCTTGTAGATACATGTGTTTCAAGAACGACTCAAAGCGCGGAACGCTGACAAAGTAGACAGCAATGGTTGCTGCTGATTTCTGGCCCTTTCACTAACAGTATTTGCAGCGGCTTCCCGCAGAAACTGTTAGTGCCCAGGGCGCCAAGACCGTTGAATGTCAACTTTTCCTCGATTTAGGCCAAATGAACTACATAGTTAGTTTCTTCGAGGTTATTCAAGTGGATACAGAGCAAAAAGCAGACTCGTTTGGGCAGAAGTGAGGTAGGAAGACGTGGTTTGGTTCGTTGGTGGTGATGTATCAAAGGCGACACAGATGACTGCTTCACGTGATGAGACACGTGGGTCCCAAGTCAACTACATGCCCTTAAGGTTCGAAGGACACTGACTGATCTTTGATGCATTTGGTTATGGATCGTGTGGAATCTATTGTAGGGGTACTGGGTAAGGGTTAAGAACATGGACAATAGAGTCATTTCTGAACAGGCCTGCAGTTTCTCAGTTTGGAAGGCTCTGTTCAGGGTTCATATGAAGTGTCCACATGCAATGAAGTTGCTCTTGCCTGTCGTCTTCGCAACTCCCAACCTTGTTAAGATGCGACAGCGCACTTACCTTATAAGTTTACAAGAAACCGCTTTCCAGAGTGTGCATCGTCCTCCGACTTCTTCCTGCAAAATCAGCAATCTGCTTCGCCAACTTCACTTTCCCGCCACCAAGGCAACAGTCCAGCATTGCGCCTCTTAATCTCCCTCGACATTCTGCGTCCCCCGTGGCGACCTCTCTTTTGTCTTCAGCCGGATAGCAGACGTCGAGAATCGTCCATCTTTCCGACAGCACAAGATCGCGCCAGCATTCCTCACTGCTCATCGCGCCAGACTCAACAAGTCAGCGACATCACCAAGAAGCAGACTTGGGGCCGACAACATTCTTCTCAGCAGTCCCACTGTTCGGCTTCCAAGAGAGTCGGCTTCTCGCATTATCGCCAAGTCCAAGCACCGCATCACGACTCTGCGCACTGAGGTCGCAAAATCCTCGAGACACTTTCTAATAGGAACCCTCTAGTGAGTCCTGCGCTTCATTTGTATACACTTTCTATATAGCCAGCGTCTCTTACTATTTCTACCGGATCTTCATTTGCGCTTTCACATACTTACCATCAGAACTATTGCAGTCAAACCAAGCGTTCCCCCCCTTTTCGAGGACTCATCACATCATCCATTCTCTTCATCCACATAAGCAAATTAGCACGATGTCATCTTCACAGTCTGTCATCCTGCCACCAACGATGGTCGCCAAAAATCTCGAAGACATCATGTACGCTGCGAACGAGGACCAGAGGAAAGTCTACTGGTCAATCCTGGGTAAGTGACGAGAGAACTACAAGAGGCTTGGACACACATTGACTCTGATCACAACAACCAGATACGATCTTCTATTTCATCCTCCGTCGCTGCATCTACTACGCGAGGCTGGGTCCGTCCCCCCAACCGATCAGGTTCCCCGCCATGAACATGTTTCTGGCCACGGCCATCAGCAACGAGGTTCGACAAGCAATCCAAAATAATTAGCAATTCACTCGTGTTGCCTACAGTTGGAGCGTCACACTCGCCAAGTCCAACGCCCTTGACCAAGGCATCGCCTCTCTTGGCCAAACCCGGCCCTGCATCAACAACTTGCAGGTTCTTGTTGACCTGAAGAGCCATCCAGCACTGAAGCAGCCGGGCGCTTCCATACCACTTGACAATGAAGTTGACTACCTGGCCGCTAAGGAGTGGTGTCACCGTCAGGAGGTGCGAAAAGCACATGCAAAGCTGGGCCAGGACAATGGTACGGATGACATCCCTCAGACTCAGAGGGATCAGAAGAAGCTCGCCAACAACTTGAGTTTGGCTGCCATGAACGAAGTGGAGATGGTCGACCTCGAATACCACGGGAAGGAGAACAAGAAGAAGCTCAACTACATTGTCCAGCGGAAGCGAGAGTTGTCTGCTCTTGACGTGGCCTTGTTCGGTTGGGAGGCATCGCTGGCCTTGAGAGACGGGCACCTCGGTCTATCCAGAGGATCATCCGCGACCACCCGTTTGGATATCGAAGCGTACCAAACTCATAAAGAGCGAAGCGACATCCTAACGAAGCTATTTCACGTGAGTACCAAGTCTCTCTGTTCCTATTGGTGACGCTATTCTGCTAACCACACACATGTATGGCTACAGGTCTCCAAAGCGTCGGTGATGAACACATATTCATTGCCACACCTCGCTCGCTTCGCGTGTAACCCCAAGGCGGAACTTCAGGTAAGCACCTACTTTCCAGTCTTACATACATGGAAGAGCAAGTCACTAACGAACTCATGACTTCTACAGACGAAGATCTCCAATAAATCTACGAACGACAACAGGCGCGAACTGATCAAGATTGGAACTGCCGAGCGAGGAAAATTGGCTGCCACCCAGAAGGATAAGCCCGAGGAAACGCCTACGGAGGAAGCTTAGGAAGCTCACCAGAACGTTCCTGAAGGGGTGGACCTGATCCCTGACGACCAATCTGGCACCAATGCCGAGGGTAATGCCGATGCCTGTCAGGGAAAGAAGCGGCCGAGAAATGACGACGACAGCAGCAACGATGACGATAATAATGTTCAGCATCAGTCGCGTGTTACGATCCAACCAACAAGCTTAGATAGATTGACCAATCAGAAGGGACCCGGGGACCCAAAATAACGGGACCACGGATCGGACCCGAAGTCCCGGGATAACGGGACTACGGGACCGGCTGAGAGCTAGTATATAAGAAGGCCTCCCGGCCTTCGTTATTACAACTCTTCAATAAATAATAGCTTTTGTAATCGATTAGTACCTTTCGGCTACTATTACTATTATTCTATTATTCTATCCTAATAATATATTCTTATACTTATAACGGTTCGTTATACGTTGCTTACTTATTAATTTATATATTAATATTCTAGGATTTACTATTATACCTAAAAGTTTCTTTAAATTATTAAGTTTCCTTAAATTATTAAATTTCCTCAACCCCGCTCTAACCTTTATAATATTTAGAAATTCGATTAGTAACCCTACTACCGGAGGACCCGCTGGAATTGGACTCCCGGGTACCGCAGCCGGAAACCCTAGCCCCGGAATAAACTCTATAACCGGAATTAAAAATAATAATAATTGTAAGATTATAATTATTGAGCTTTATACCTAATAAAAAGGCGCCTAATACTTTAATATTTAAAATAAGAAATTAATCCCTACTAACTTTATCCCCACCGTTACCGAAAATATTAATATAATTAAACTTTATAGAAATATTAATAGATTAAGTGTAAGAGTTTTATTTAATTATACTATTTATAATAATTCCCTACTTCCTAAAATTAAATTTAATCCGCTTCCTAAATTCGATAGTACTAAGAAGGAGGATTTTTAAGGATTCTTTATTTAAATTCGCACTAATTTAAAATTCTTTAATATTTAAAATTCTATTTAAATAATTTTATATACCGCCTCCTTCCTAACTAATAAAGCTTCCGAGTAGTTTTAACTTATTTAAATTAATTATTTTAGATATAGATAGCCTGATATATATTTTAAAATTATTTAAATCTTTAATAATTTTAATTATTTTAAGGGTACTATTAATTAAATCTTCGGACTTACTAATAAAGTCCGTTAAATTAAAATTAAATTCAATAAATTCTATTAAATTAAATCGGCCGCCTCCTATATAGCCGAATTTAAATAATTTATATTCCGTATTGATTGGAATAATAAAGGCTTTAAATATTAATTTTATCAAGGTTTAAAGAGCGATATTAAAGACGAATTTATTAAAGTCGATTATAAAATTAGAAATTTCGATAAATATATAAATAAAACTATTATTATTAATAACCGCCTCTTTAAATATAAATACGAAAAAGGGTCGGGCAATAGCTGCCCCCGTACTAATATTAGATATAAATATTAATATAATAGTAATAATTATAATAACTGTAGTTATAATACCATATATAATATATATATTAGCCCTATAAATATAAATATAATTAATAATTATAATTATAAGCCCGCTAGAGGGCCTAGTAAGGATAAAAAGTACTTTAAATATAATAAATTAGGATATTTTATTCGCAATTACTATAGTAATAGTATTAAATAAAGTAATAACTATTTAAACGGGTAGAAATTTATTCTTATTTACTCTATTAATTCGGTTGGAAAAAGTAAAGGTAAAAATATTAATAATATTAAGATTAATTATAATTTCGCTGCTACCTTTACTATTATTACTAATAATAAGCCCCTTTATACTATTTATATAATAGATTATAATAATAGATCTACTAATAATTATATAATTCTTAAAGAATATAATTAATACGAACGGTTTAAATAAGAATAATAAGACCTTGAAAACGAAAAGGAGAATAATTATAGAGGAATTATACTATTTATTTCCAATATTAATATTCAATTTCGGGGCTATACCCTATTTATTCTTAATAAATAAATATATACCCTATTCGCCCCTACTATTAAAGAAGAATAACTATTCGGAACTATTAAACGTATTAAACTTATTATTTATACCAATTTATTTAACGCTATAAAATCCGATTTAAATATAGATATTATTAAGTAAATAAATTATAACGAGGAATTTTAATAAAAAGTTAACGATTTAAAGCGCTTTAATAATATTAAAACAATTAGGATAAAAGAATTCGAAATATAGTAAATTACTTATAATTAATAATATTATAATATTTATTACTAGGATAGGGTATTGTACGAAAACTCCTTCTATAAATCTAATAAGTAATTAAAAGAATTTATTATATTTATCCAAATTTCCCTCTAAAAGTTCAAAAAGAAAATTATAAGGGATTCCAAATAGATTTGTAAATTCAGTTTAGATAAAAAAATATAACCGACAATTTTAAACCGAATACTATATAAAATTATTAAGGGAAGACAAATTCGTTGAAATTTACCCCCCGCACTAAATTCTTTAATTAATTAGGGTTATTACTTTTAATATTAATATTTATACTATTTATAATCAATTTTAGGAATCGTAAGCCGGGGATTATCTATAAATCTACCCTAATTACCCTACTTATAGGAAAATCGCTTGGATTTAATACTTATACAATATATATTTATAGTACCTATTATATAAAATAAAATACAATTATTTTCCTTAGCGCGTTTAGGAAAATAATATTCCTATTTTTATTAGAGGAATATATTATAAAAACTCTATAAGTTTATAGGATATTCGTACTTAGGACCGGAAGAAGGGCGGACGCTTTATAAAATTTATATTAAAGGAAGAATACCCTTAGAAATATATAGAATCCTTATATACCCAATATTAGAACTATTATTAAATTAATTGTACCGTCTATATAACCGATAAAGCCCGATAATAGTATTTTAAATAGGCTTTAAAGGAGAAAGGGTATTATTATTTATATACTTTAGCCTATAGAAAGGAGGAAACTATAATAGTATTTTCTAATATTAATAAAATAGTTATTAATTCTAAGCCTTCGAAGAAATACTATATTCGTAGAGGATGTAGAAGATAGGGAAATAATAATAGCTCTTCGTAAGAAGATTATAAGTAACTAGCCTACTATAAATCCTCGAAGTAAATCGAAATAATAATTCGATTTACTAAATTTAAATAGATTGGATATAACTATTTAAAGGAACGGCGATAATAATAATCAATTTAAAATTATTAATTAATTTTATTATATTAACAATTACAAATAATTGGAAAATCCCTTAGGTTTATAAAAAGAAACCCTATTGAATATATATATTTATGGGGGAAAAGTTTTAATTATAAGTAGGGATAAGTACTACGAGAGATAGTACTATTTAGGATTATAATTAATAGCAACGAATAAGAAATTATTTTTAATATTATACTAATTAGGAAATATAATACTATATTAGGAAGATTATAATTAAAGAAATATAATCTAAATATTAATTAAAGTAGCAATTGTATTAGGAAGTAATAAATCCCTAAAGCTCTAGACTAAAAAATTTTAATTATTAATAGAAAGGGTTAATATCCTTTATTATACGAGACTATACTACTACTAAAATTATTAAAAATAATTATATTTATAAATAACGTTAAGGAGGAGGTACTACCTCCTGAACTACCCCTTAGTAAAAATAATAAGCTTAAAGACGTCCTTATATAATATTGAAAGTATAAAATCTTTCGGAGCTTATTAGAATATTCTTTACTAGTATATAGTCTATAGGACTACGAAATACGCTTAAAGGAAGGCGCTAAACCTAAATATTAAAAAATTTACTAATTAAACGCTATATAAATAAAGGCGTTTAAGGAGTATATTAACGAAAGGTTAAAATTAGGATATATCCGAAAATTCTAATTTCCTTATAATTCCCTTATATTCTTTATATTAAAGAAAAATAGAAAGCTGCGTTTCGTTATTAACTATTAGTATTTTAATAATAATACTATTAAAAATCGATACTTATTGCCGTTAATTTAAAGATGCGAGACCGGTTAGGAAAGGCTATTATTTTTTTAAAGTTTGACCTAATATTAACCTTCTCCTAAATCCGTATAAAGAAAGGAAAAGAATAGAAAACTATATTTAAAATACCCTTAAAATATTATAAATATTGTATTATACCCTAAAGGTTAATAAATATACCTACCTCCTTCTAATTATAAATTAATACTATATTTTAATAATTTATAAATAAATTTATAATAGTATATATTAATAATATTATTGTATTTTCTAAAAACGAAGAATAATATTAGAAATATATATATAAAGTCCTTACCGCTTTAGAAAAAACTAAATTATCAATCAACCCTAAGAAAAGTAAATTTTACGTCTAATAAATTAATTTCCTAAAATATTATATTTTACCCAGCTAAATTCGTATAGACTCTATAAAGGTTAAGGATATTGCCGAATAATTAATACCTACTTCAATAACCGGGGTTTAAGGATTCTTAAACTTCGTTAATTTTTATAAACGCTTTATTAAAGGATTCGGAAGTATAGCTAAACCGCTCAACGACTTAATTAAAAAGGATATTGAATTTATATAATCCTAAAAGTATAATAAGGTATTTAAAATCCTAAAGCGAATAATTCTAAATAACCCTATCCTTATACTCCCGGATCCGGATAAAAAATTCGAAATTAAAACCGACGCATCCGACTAAATTATAAGAGGATAATTTAGGTAATATAACGATTAAAGAAGACTATACCCTATTATATTTTACTCTAAAGTGTTTAGAGGGCCTAAATTTAATTACCTAATCTATAATAAAGAATTTATATTTATAATTTAATAGTACGAAATATGAAATTAAGGTCTACTTGGACTATAAGAACTTAATATATTTTACAACTATAAAGGAATTAAATTAGCAATAGATTTATTAATTTAAATTCCTATTATAATTCAATTTCAATATCTATTACTATAAAGGGTTTAAAAACGTAAGGGCTAACGTATTAAATAGAAGGGAAGAGTTTAAAATAAAAATAGGACTTATTACCTCCTTTACTTTATTTTAAATTAATTTAGATAGGTTATTCTAATACTAACCCTTATAAGAATAAGCTATAGATAATAAAATTAATATTTATAATATAGCTAAAGTAGACTTAGATAATTAGATTCAATAAATTATTAAAGTATAATACGAAATTAATAATAAAGAAATTAAAATATATTTAATTATATTTATAATACCCTAATTGTATAAAGGTAAACTTTAGGTACTTCCTTCGCTATAAAAAGAATTAGTATATAACATTTATAAATTACCCGAAGAGGGAGGATACGTAAGTATTATTCGTACCCTCGTTAAAATATAGTAATTATTTAGATTCTTTACAATAAAGGATATTATTATAGAAGTACTATAGGAATATAAAGTCTATTATAAAACTAAGGCCAATCGATATAAATTATATAAATTATTCGAACTACTCCTAGTATTGGAAGTACTATAGTAATTAGTAATTATAGACTTTATTACGAAATTACCCTTATTACGTAATTTAATTATTAGAATTGAATATAATAGTATTTTAATTATTATTAATCGGTTTATAAAATTCTTATACTTCCTATTATTTCGGGAAGATACGGATATAGAATAATTGGGTTATATATTTATAAAGTATATTATTTCTAATTATAGATAGTTAAAGGAATTAATTACTAATAAAAATAAATTCTTTTTATTAAAATACTAATAAGTATTTATAAATAAGTTAGGGGTTAAATATAAAATATTTATTATATATTATACGAGGATAGATAAATAAATAGAATAGATAAATTAAATTTTAGAAATATATTTTAGAATATACGTTAATTATAAGTAGGATAATTAAGCCGAACTACTACCTACGGTATAAATATTTTATAATAATTTAAAAACGAAGATAATAAAGGTTATACCCTTCTTTACGAATTATAATTACGAAATAAATTTTAAACGAGGGTAGGATTTAGAATTAATAGTACTTCGAATTTATATTCGAACCGAACGTTTAACCGAAATATATTAGATTTTTAAAAATAAATTAACCTTTATTAGGGACTATATAAGCCGGTACTATAATTATATAAAGTTATTGGTACCGACCTTTAAAAAGGGAGATAAGGTCTACCTTTTTTACTAAAATATTAAAATTAAACGGCTAAATAATAAGTTCGACTATAAAAAGCTAGGACTATTTAAAATCTTAAAAAAAGATAATACTAATAATTATAAATTCAAATTCCCTAAAGGAATATAATAATAACTTATATTTTATATTTTACTATTAGAATTAATACTTAAAAATATAAGAATCGATAGGAACGTACAAATATAGAATAATAGTAACGAATTTATTATTAAAATTATATTAGACTTAAAGATTAATAACAAAGGTAAATTAAAATACTTAATTAAATAGTAAAACTATAACTACGAAAATAATATATAAGAACCGACCGAAATTTTATTAACTTTAAGGATAAAATTATAAATTTCTACTAATAATTCCCTAATTAGCCGAAGCCACTAAACGCTCTAAAGACCCCGGACTTATTATATTTAACTCCCTTAATTAATTAAACTCTTTAATAGGCCTAATAATAGAAAAAAATTTAATAGAAGTACCCCTAAATATCTCCTCCTCTAAATCCGCTATCCTACAATTAAAATATTCCTTTTAACGACGAAACGAATAGCACTTTTATTCCCGAATCTAAAGCAAACGATTCTAAAGGATTATAATTTCCTATATTAACTACTCCTCTTCGTCCTCTAACCTCTTCGCTTCCTCTATTTCCTTATTTATTACTAATATATTAGCCGTTACCCTATAATAATTAAAAGCAATACTTATATTATAAATCCGGATTAACTAATACGTTATATAATACCTTATAATAAATATACTTACTATATAATAAAGATTTCGAACGGTTTATAATATAAGATTAATTATATTAATAATAATTAGAGTACAATATTATAGAAACTCTACCGAGCTATTTAATATAGCGAATTAATATATTAGTAAATACCCTTTTCTAAGTAGAATAATTCGAAATAATACGCAATATAAATATAATAAATAATAATAATAAAAGGAAAAGAAATTTACTTATAAATTTAGGGTAATATAAATAATAAGAAGGATGAACTAGGGAAGAAGGGAGACGAAGGATATAATAAATATTAAAGTAACTACTAATATAATTTGTTAGTACTTACGCGTTGAATATAAATAAGTAGTATATATTATTAAATTATATTATAGCGTTAAAAATAAAACTATAGAAGAGGAGCATTATATTACAATCTAACTAATAAATTTAAATAAATTGACTAATTAAAAGGGACCCGGGGACCCGAGATAACGGGACTACGGGACCGGCTGAGAGCCAATATATAAGAAGGCCTCCCGGCCTTCGTTATTACGGCTCTTTAACAAGTAATAGCTTCTACAATCGATTAGTACCTTTCGGCTACTACTACCGTTGTTCTATTGTTCTATCCCAGCGATATACTCTTGTGCTTGTAACGGTTCGTCACATCGCGTGCTTCCAAGAAGGCACGCTTGCAACAAGGGTCAATAACGCATCAGACCGACATTTCACAGCAACAAGATTTCGAACAGCCAACCATCTTACAACAGGCGGATTTTGCGCAGCAAGGACAACTTGACTCCCTCTACATGGATCCAGCCATGCTAGCATTGCCACAGGAAGAGCAATTCAATGTGGAGCCAGCTACGGAGACACCTGCCCCCTCAGTCTCCAATGTCGAGGAAAATGCCACTCAAGAGCATGGAGTAAATCGGAACCCAAGTGAGGAGGAATTGATATGGTTCAGGGACAATGTTCTGTTGGGAGGACAGCCTTTTCCACCTCGGGACGACAGATCTGCTGCTTCTAGGTCGCAGCGTCGGGACCCTTGAGGTGCCTGACCTGACCTGACAGGACATAACAGGTGTTGTCGACGTGCTGAACAGGATTGTCCGTCCCTTTCAGGTTCCCGATTTGAAGTTTGAGACAGGTGTCGACGACAAAATCAGTCGAGGTTCTGCGAGCCTACGAACCGGAATAGCAGATTAATACGGTACTCAAGGGACTGGACAAGGGAGTTGGAAAGGATGACGGTTGGGTTGAAGGAGAGAAGTTGTCTCTACCGGACTTTGGTGATGAATTCACGATGATAGCTGTCATGTGGTTTCTCTATTTCACGCTACTGCTTCCCTTCTGTCGAAGCAAGGCCTTCGTCTTCGGTCGTAGCAAATACACCTCTACTTTGTCCTCTCCATAATCACAGTTTCAGACCTGAGTCATGACTGTTCCATAGAGGTAGATTCCAGTCATAGAGACCCAATGGTTCACGTTCTTCATGCCACAGTCACTTGATCAGTGACTCCAATTGTGTTATCCGCGTTATCATCCCTGCTTCGTGCTCTTATCCGTGAGTCCATTAGTTTGTTGAGTGATTAGCATGAGTCTACTAGTGATACTTGACAGGTATAAGTTCTCTTCTCCCCCCAGGCTGGACCCCCTACCTTATGGCGTGGCTGAATGGAAGTTCATATATCATCCCGCTGTCAACGGGAGTGGGGAGCAGAAACACCTCCAAGAGTGACCTGCCCCTCATCATAACGGAGATCGCAAGTGGCTGTAGAGCAACTCGATAATGGCCAATGACAGCGGTCGGTCTAGACGCTGTTTGCTTTCAGTCACGCGTCCCCCACTCCATCCACACCTTACACCTCCTTCCGATTCGCAAGCCTTACCCCTCCCGCAGCGCCACTGGAGCCTAAGGCAACGCTTTTACCCCTCTCTCACTCATTTTCTTCTTGCTCCTCTTTCTTCCAATCTACTACGGTCTCGCGCTTCCTTTCCCTACCTCTACTTGTCAGTAATCTCCCTCGCACCAACATCATATCACCATGCCTCCCAACAACCCAGTATGAGTGAGGCATCATTCCCTCCATTCTATCACCACTTCGTGGATCTTACCTTTTCCATCCAGCCAATATGTTCCGCTCTTCTATCCATGCCTGAGACACCTTTTTCGTCGTCTCCCTAGCATTCCCCCACAACCCGAAGCTCCCAACGCAAACGCGTCGGCGTCCAAGTATCCGGGATGGAATCTGAGCGGTTTCGGCAATACGGACGTGCGACCTAACGACGCCGAGAGGTAGAGGTATCCAGTCAATATGTTCTGCTCTTCTATCCACGTCCGAGACAGATTTTCGTGGTCTCCCTGGCATTCCCCCACAACCAGAGAGCTTTGGCGGGGACATACCAGCGTCCAAGTATCCGGGATGGAATCTGAGCGGTTTCGGCAATACGGGCGTTTGACTCCAGTCAGGGACGGTGTTCATGTCGGTAAGCGTGCCCCCATCTTTTCCCGCAATCCGTCCGTTCCACGTACCTACTTTCTTTCCTCTCCTTGCCACGACCTTGCGGTTCCCTTCGCAACATGAGAGACCAGACTAACACAGTTTATAGCGAAGAAGACGAACGAGAAAACAAGTGCCACTCGCAACACCAAGACTTCAGTCCGTCTTCGGCAAGTGGAAGCGGGCCATGGACGACGTTTTCGGATGTCTACGATCAATTCGGACTCTATCAGCGTCGTGACGAGCCGTGAGAGACTCAGAAGCCGTTCAAGGTATTGGCCAGGAGGATCTTGGTCGTCCACGTCGAGGAAGTCCTTCCTGGAAGAGCCCTCGTCCGAGCCTTTGTCATCCGAGCGGATGCTTCTCGCTTTGTTCATTTCATGTTGGGACACCGGCGTCGCCAGTGTCTCCCAGTTCTCAACTGTCTCCTATTGTACACCCATCTCTTTGTCCAGACCACTTTGCCCTGGTGCCAACCAAGGTGTTGACCACCAGAAGTCCAACACAGCTGTTGGGACATTTTGCACAGACACCTATCAGCGCTCCAAATAATGGGAGCTGTACATTGGCTTTGTGCGACTTCGCGGCAAGCGCTTAAAGATGTCGGTCGCTTCTCCGCGGCGGCGGCGTGAGATGGCCCAAGAGACCATCGACGACTCCCCTCGAATTGGAGCCGACTCTTGCCTTTTTGTATCATCAAACGACACTTGCTATCATCCTCTCTTCTCAGGAGTTGGCAAGCGCCAAAGATGTCGGTCGCTTCGCCGCCGCCGCGGCGTGAGATGGCCCAAGAGACTACCGACAATTCCCCTCGAATAGTAGCCAACCCTTGTTTCGTCGGACGACAGTTAAACATCATCCCCTTCCCTCGGTTGTTGGCAAGCGCTCAAGATGTCGGTCGCTTCGCCGCCGCGGCCGCGCGAGATGGCCCAAGAGACCACCGACAACTGCCGTCCACCACTGGAAGCAAGTCTCAATCGCCGGTCTCGATATGACCAACGGCGCCCGGGACGAAAAGCATTTCAAATACCAGACCACCGAGCTTCTCCAGAGGAGCCGAGCTATTCAGCTCCAGATGAACATGTGTTCGTGGAATCAGGAGATTCTCCGAATCAGCGGCCTCATTACCAGCAACTCCGTTCAGGGGAAGACTTGCGGTGGCTACCAGGGCGGCGGTGGCTACCAGGGCGGCGGTGGCTACCAGGGCGACGGTGGCTACCAGGGCGACGGTGGCTACCAGGGCGGAGGTGGCTAGGTACCAAGGCGGAGGTGGCCACCAAGGAAAGTGTTCCCCGATTGGGACCAAAGCTATCTCCCTCTCGTCATCTTCTGTGTTTATTTCTGTTTTCCTGTACGAATTCTCTTGTATTCGAATTCGGGGATGTCATATTGTATCTGTTCGTCACTGGGCGCTATAGATTCGGGCCTTGACACAAAACTCATTCTCAGTAGAGGTAGATGTAGCTGGTGCTAGAGGTACCTAGATAGCAACTATAGTCCAACAACACACACTTTCCCACTACCTATCTTCGTGCCCGAATTTGTTCTCGTGTAGCTACCCCTTTAAGCCAATGACGGGGAGCAGGATGGCTTTCATGTTGCTTGGCTCTTTTTCCGCCTCTGTCGTGATCCAGGTTAGAGCATGTTAGAGGTACTGACGATGCCGGTGCTGGGATGGTTGAGCCACCACGCCAACCCACGCTGTTCTTAGCGGTCTCTTCGATGTCAACAGCGGATACGGCGACGGAGCGGGACCGGAAGGCCGTTGACAGTGTCGACATACCCTACGGGCCGCTTACACGGGAGTACGCATCACTATCAGGGCGGCAACCTCAGGTTTCAATCCCGATAAGGCTTCATCCCATGTGCTAAGGTTGTCGCGTTCTGCCAGCCGAGCTTGTCCCACAAGGTGAAGGGCGGTTAAGGTCTGCCCCTCGTCTGATCCAGTCCGCTTCCTCTTCGTACTTCTTGTCCAGTTCTCCGACAAAAATGTTCTGATCGCTCGACTCGACAGAAACAACGACCATCACTGCGGCAGCAAGATCTCTTCTCGGCCGCCCACCCATACCTACCACCACGACCATCATCCCGCAAACCCTCATCTCTCTTCATCGCCTCTTAAAGAAGACACTTTGCTGAAGCCGTTTGCGCCAACCCCCAATCTCGCCTTTATCATACCATACCAACCCAATCGACAGCCCACGCCCGGTGTTGTTGCTTGGACATCATCCCAGCACTGCGCAAACCAAAAAGTGCCAATGTTCTTCTACTCCCAAGGCCATCAAGACAATAATTGGTTTCAGGAACCGTGAAAACATACCCACCTCACTGGCGGACATCTTGAACGATCACTTCCATTTTTCGTTCAGCACCATAGCTCGATAGGAAACATGGAGTCCCAGAAGCAGCAGTAAGTTGGTCCCTTTGCAGTTCATCCTCTACACCCACTGTCTTGAATTCTACCTTGAAAGTGGAAGCCACTTCTTCATCACTCTTGGATCCCATTGTTTTCTCCCGTTATGGTTTTCTGTCCTTCAGTACTTGTATCAAAGATCGAGATGGACTCACTGCTTTGGAGTCTTGAAAACTGATGAAAAAGATTGGGGGCTAACAAAGTCATACAAAGGTCAGCTCAGGGTACCCCCAAGAATGAAGGCAAAAAGACGAATCAACAGTTTGTATCGCAGTCACCGCTACAACTGGACGACTGGCTCGACCCACTTCTAATGGACGACGACATTCTCGAGCTCCCACCCAACGACGGGTTCGGGATGATTCCAATGGGCGATCAGTCCATTCAAAGCCCAATGGCTCAACAGGCTGCGGAGAACCCAGTCGATCAGCAGTCTGCTCAAAACCCGATCAACTCACAGCCTGCTCAGAACCAGATTGACGAACAGCCTGCTCAGAATTTCATGGCTCAACAGTTTGTTCAGCTGCCGGCGGAAAGCATTGTCCAGATGGATAGAGTCATGGCCGATGTCGTCGGTACAAATCGCCATGAGGCGTATTGGTCCATCCTGGGTACGTACAAGCGAGGAAGATGCTCAAGACCTTCTGATAGTAAGCCAGTTTTATGCCAACAAGATTCCACCACCATAGATGATATATACTACTTCATCCGAGACCACCGATGGGCTTCCATTCCAGATGTTCGCGGAAACTTTCGCTCCCGACCCTCAATTGAAGCCTCCTACCGCGCTGTTGGGCCTCCTCCCGCCTACGTACAGCCCATCTGGCCCGTCTACGAGGCCACGACATTGGCTGTAGGTAAAGAGGACATCAGGCAACTGGTCCAAGACAATATCCAGTTTGCCTTGGACGCTTTCCGATGGGCAGTCTTCATGGACAGATTTGGCGCTTTGGAGGTCACGTACGCCAATCTGGGTCAGACACGACCCATCATCGCCGGCCTCCACGGAAAGTTGGCCCTCCATGAGCAGCAGGGAGTTAGTTGGGACACCAGCAAGCACGGTGTTGTTGACCATTTTCTGGAGACAATGGTGTTCAAGAACGAGCCTGAGTTCCTCGCCGGCGAAGAGTGGGAGAAGAGACAGAAATGTCACCAAATCCGTACCAAGAATGGCTTCTCACAGGCGTCATTCGCAGATGCGCCGAGACTTCCGGAGCAAGAAAAGGTGGAAGTCCTCAATCTCGTCATCGATGCCTTTAACGAGCGAGATATCGTCGACAAAGCCAAGCACTCACGAAGGAATGGGGAACAAGACAATCATGTTCTCGTCGAGAAGAGACACATGTCTCTCTTGAATATGGAGTCGACGGGATGGAAGGCCTTGGTGAGTTGTCCCATTATCTTGACTCCGACGATCGAGTTTGTCACTGACCACTGAGTGTGCTCTACAGCGCGCCCTCCGGTTTGTCGCACTCGGGATGCCAAACGCCGGTGTCTTCAACATGGACTTCGTATTCAAGCCGTATGATACATTTAGGGCTCGTCTCCGCGACTTCGAAACCCTATTTGCATCCTCAAAAGCGGCCGTAACGAGTACCACAGAGAGCTCCAAGCTCACTCGTTTTGCCGGTAGACCTTCGGCCGAACTTAGTGTAAGCCAATTTCCTTGATTCGTTTCGTTTGTCAGCACAGGATTGGGTGGCTAACATGGAATGAATGATAGACCAAACGCGTCAACAAGAACGGTGCGGACAGGAAAGCCGTGGAGCTGACTTTCGCCAGCGAGGTGAGGAGAAACATGGCGGCGGCAGGGCAGCACCAACATAGTTCAGCGCAAGACGCCGGCGAGCCGATGCAAGCAGAGAACCCCGAGTCAGAGCTCCCCGAGCCAGAGCTTGAAGTGGACGAGGAGGAGGATGAAACCGTCTATGGAGATGATGCCCAGGATGACGTCCTGGCTGCAGCCGATGGAGCTGCGGTTGATCCAACCTCTAACCCGACGGCTCGCAATGCCAAACGGAGGCACATCTCAGACGATGAGGAGGATGCTCTGTCATTCTAATCGAAGGGGGCAAATCATTTTGGAGGAGTGTCCTTCAACCGAGGCTCTAATCACGCCCAAGATCTCGCATTCAATATATCACAGCACCATTGGTGTCTGGGACAAGACAAACTTTCTAGAGTTGTCATCAGCTTCTTTAGCACAAGATCAACTGGCAGCCGGAGTTTAAATTTGCCTACAGGTAGCAGGGGCGTTCCGTCAACCTTTAGGTATGCAGGAGAATATGGCGAGGACATTGCGGAGGTTGCCCGATATAGCAGGCATTGTATTCAATTTATTGTATTTGTACGTAAAGAAAACGAGGTTCAAGTTTCTGTGTTGTCGTCCATCCAACGTCGTGATTTGTAGGTAGTCAGATTCGGTACTTGGTCGTTTTCAGTGGTAGTCTCAAAGCCAACTTGACTTCCCACGGGAAGGCGGGTATTGACTGGTCGAGTACCTCAGAAGCATGAAACCGTTAGTCAGACCATCATCGACCAGAGGGAATGTCGATATCGTACACGGAAGCTCAGACAGAAGCATGATTCATCCAGGGAGACTTGGTCGACACTCCGAAGGTGCGGGTGGGAAACAGATTATGTCTAGATGTACCTCTAGGTTCTGGTATATGAAGCTTGGTGTCTCTTCTTCTCGAGGCTTCCGGTGCTGTACTTGTCGATAGGAGCACTACCACACTGATAGAGGCGAGTACCTCTACAGATGCCGCGAAGATCGTTGAGGGCAGTCAGGATTATGGGAGCCGTCCTCAGCGGGAGTAGGAAACTCGAATTAATTGGTTTCGGTTGCCTGTTCGTCCTTTGCGGTGTTAGCCTACTGCAGAAATCCAGGACTGCCACGAGCAGGGGAAGTCGGTACATCGTAAAGAAAATCAACGTACCTGTCCGGCAGCCAGACAGCCAAGAGAGTCATTACTGACCGGTTTTCGCGACGGTCACCAATGGTACCAGGACTGGAATTGAAAGGGGACGACTGAAATTTGTAGAGGTAGTGTCACTCGTCAGCCGACTGGAGCTAGACATGGAGGTAGAGATACAACGGAGGAAGCCCAAAGCTGGAGTGGATGGGACGGATGTGAGGACTGGAGGGGATTCGGATGATGCTAGAGTTGTCGAGGACGGCGACTTCTGAGGCGGACGGTCATCTCTCTGCAACCGGCGTCAAAGATTGCAAGCATGGTGTGGGCCTGGCCGTCATCGGAGGGAGCAAATTGCCTCGCGCGGAAGTAATCTCTCCTGGGGCTGGGAGTAGGGGCTGGAAGGGAGAGGAATCATACTCGAGGAGGCAGGTGCGTGTCTTCAACTCAACCAATCCTTTGGAGAGATCTCGATCCAAGTTTGGTCATCCACAGCAAATGATCAGAGGAGCGAGAGGGGAAGCTTCCAGACCTCCTCTAACCAAGTGACAGGATGACGTCGAGGTCATCAGGAGGTTCGTTTGTCCAGAGCAGAGCAAGAAGCTACGTTCCAGGAGCGCCGAAAGCGGTAAGGGATCCTCGATGTTCATGGTCTGGTGCCTGACGGACGATGGACAGCCGCCTCGAGCACCCACACACAAGAGATGTACGTTGGCCTCCTCCTTCCTCCCCAGCTCGGCTCTAGGAGAGGACACACAGTTTGTATGACAAATGGACAATTTCCTGCGTCTGGAGGCAAGGCGTACCTTCCCTTCTGCCCTCTTCCTCACCTTGTCCAGGGCATCGAATGGAATCATCCAGCCTGGCCCGCCTCCCCTTGTCCCAGCTGCTCGACCAGGTATTTATTCTCTGCTCCCCCGCCTCTCCATCGGTTTTCTTTCCCCTCACTTCTCTCTCTCCATCACACACACTCTTTCTATCAATTTTTTCCGAAATGATCACCACCGCAGCGTCAACCCCAAAGCACATCATCATGCTTCTTGTTCATTTCCACCATCACTCTTGACTTGTTTCAGCAGTCACTCACCTTTGGACTCACGTCATCCTCTTCTCCTCGTTTTGGTCCCCGTAACCCAACTCTACCTCTTGGTATTTGGGCCATCACAAAGTTCTCCAAGCGCAACATCCATCCATCCATCCTCTGGCCGCTGTTCCTCCCGGTTCCGGCGCCCCATCATGTCTCCCCCTACTTCTCGCCCTCTTCCTCTCCGCCGTACACGGCAAGCAAACAGCCGCACAACGAAACGCAACGGCGGCGATCAGTTCAGCTTTTCGTCCCGGCTGGCCAAGAGTCCGTTTTGAAGCAGCCGGGCCTATGTCCCGGGCGAACTCTCCTCCCCCTCCTCGAAGGGGTAAGTATTTTCTGTCTTCCTTCTTCTTCTTCATGCATTTGGAGCATGTCCCAGACTGCCTTCTGACACTACCTCTAATGCAGGGGATCGAGACATCCTCGGAATGTACAAACCACGACTTGGCCCTCTGAGTCTCGGTCTTTCTCTGGCCGCGCTACTCGCCAGTTTTCTCTGGCCGCGCTACTGCGCCAGTCGAGAGAAGAACCACCGGATGGTGGTTCTGGGGTATGTACCTACATTCATTCATTCATCCCACATGCAGGTCCACATGACACTCCAATCGACACCAGACTAACACTGGTTGCTTTCCTTGCCAGGTTCCAATCCTCATCGTCGCCGTCGAGAAGTGGCCCTCTGAGTTTCGGTCTTTCTCTGGCCGCGCTATTGTGGCCCTCTGAGTCTCTGTCTTTCTTTGGCCGCGCTACTCGCCGGTCGAGAGAAGAACCACCGGATGGTGGTTCTGGGGTACGTAGCACATTCATCCACATGACACTTCAATTGACACCAGACTAATACTGCTTTGTTTCCTCGCCAGGTTCCAAGCCTCATAATCGCCGTCGTTCGTCGCCGTGAAGAGAGCGAAG